TATAATATATATATAATATATATATATTATATTATATATATATACATACGTGGAGGTTTCCTGAAATGGGGTGGTACCTCAAATCATCCAAAATTAAATCATTTTAGTATCGACATTTCAAGAAACCCCCATATGGTGTTAAGCTTAGCTTACCAGCTTACCATACACATCATATTCAATGTGGCTTACATCACATAATCACAGATTCGTAAGATTTATTGCTGAAAACGCTAGTCTATGCTAATCTGATATTGATATTGTCTTTACATCGATGAAAGACTATGTGCTTACTCAAATGTTATTCCGATTTACAGGTGTAAAATAAACCTGGAACCCGCCGGTCGGTACATGAACCTGGAACCTAAATTTGTATATTGAAGCAGGGCCCTAAGTTAATCCCAACTACCTCTCTTTTGGATGTTTTCTTTCTTCAGCTTGATTGGTCAAAACATGCCCGATTTGTTGTGTGGTTTCCCAAATCATCCATATCTCTTGCCTCTTGGAAAAAACAATTGTTCTTCACAAACCTGAACTTTGAGACATTTCGGGATAGTTGCCCTTACACTCAAAGATCATCATTGACGACGTTGCGAGGTGAGGTCCATGTTTATTCATCCAGATCCGCTCATGCTAGATTCACACTTTTGGTGGTTAAGTCCCATATAAATCATCTGATGTTCCCACTTTGTTGGTAAATATATATATATATATAATTCCCATAGAATTCACCAGGCTATAAAATCATCCTGCAGCAGAATATAGAATGTTCAGAAAAATCATTTTGAGAACATGGATGTGTTGACAATGTTCATATCCTATCTAGTTACTACAGAATGCAATTAGGTTTCCCAACAAAATGGATAGTTCATAATGGAAAACCCTATTAAAATTGATGATTTCAGGGTACCCCATTATTGGAAACCTCCATATACACACATATTTGCTCCTCTGGTGCAAAGAGGAAGAGCAGTGGACAAATCCTGAGTGCGCCACCCCAGTCATAATTTGGTTTATAACATCCATTAACCAACAGCAATGGCGAGTTATCAACAATGTATCCATTGATGACACTTGAGCTGGTTTATAACCTTCATTGTTTATAGTTATGACTTAACAAAACCCCGAGTTGTACTAGAAACCAACTTAGCTATTATCGCAAAACCCCACCCTGTACCATCCATGGCGCTTTAACCAACAAACAATGCGAATTAACCTTGATAAAGATTGTGAGTTGGCCAACCAACCAATAATAAAATCTAAGTGATTTAACCAGTCTGATGTTGCCGGAATGCACATCAACATTTACCCGGGAAGTTTTCCCTACTGGAACTCCGTACATCAACGATGGGAGAAAGTTACCTCAATTGTTTTGCCCCATGTCACTCCGCACGATCCCTGTCATATGTCTTAACAACAGCGGTTTTAATTGCATCAACTCTTGTAGTTACTATGGGGGGAACATCATATGGGTATACATGTACATGTTAGATTTCACCGGCGTGTTGAATCTTTTCTCCATGTGACTCCGATCATTCTTGCGGTGAGCATTTGATTTCAAACATTCAGGCCCGTCAATGTTTCACAAGCCCTCATATAAACAAACTTTTTCCCCACCTGTCTGGTGAGGGTTGTTAGATTTCATGTCAACTGGCGTCCTCTTTCTCCACCGCCTCCTCCGCCTGACCTTAACTGCAAGCTTCTGATCGCTGTGTTCCCCGCCGGACCCGAACAGCAAGCTCAGGATCAGAGTATACCAGAGTGTTCCCCGCCGGACCTCAACTGCAAGCTTATGATCGCAGTGTTCCCCGGACCTCAACTGCAAGCTTGTGATCGCAGTATTCCCCGCCGGACCCGAACAGCAAGCTCAGGATCAGAGTGTTCCCCGCCGGACCTCGACCACAAAGAATCTCCGAAGAGATATCAGATAAAATGCCAGAAAGAAGGTCAGAAGACATGTCAGATAGAATGCCATAGAATTTCAGTTTGTGGGAATCACTCGTTTCAATTTTTTGGTAGGGGAAATACTGGATCTGAGCGAGGTGTGAGAGAGATGCTGGGTGAGATCAAACAACATGCCCAGTGTCCCCCAGCCCACATGAGCCATGAGCACGACCGTCTTTCCTATTCCCCAAACAGCCTGTCCACACTGAGGGGTTCTTATGTGGTCTGTAGTAGTAAGGGCCGATCCTTGATCAGATTATCATCCTCCTCTACCTCATCATCCGCAACATCATCATCCTCAACATCATCATCTTCTTCCTCCTCAACATCATCATCTTCCTCCCCCTTGACATCATCATCCTCCACCTCGTCTTCCGCAACATCATCCTCCTCCACCTCATCTTCCGCAACATTATCATCCTCAATATAATCGTCCGCAACATTTTCAACCTCATCCTCATCATCATCACCACCACCACCATCATCATCATCATCACCATCATCATCCACGCTATAATACATTATCCTCCCACTCCCCCACACTGTTTGGGGTCTCTTGCCGGGATATTTTGTTACATGGTATTGAATCAATACTATTGATCAATGTTCTTAATTTTTCCTTTTTTAGATGGTGTTCGTCCTTTTTCTTCATTGTTCTATTTCTCATGTGTTCATCATTGTTTTCATCCAAATTTCACAGCAACCATTCTCACTGGGGATTTGCATCATATGGCTGGCAAAAAGCCATGAATTTGAAATGGAAAATGCTTTTCTCCCAACGGCAACGCATGTCCATGCACTTTCCTCAATTACCTTCCCCAAGCATAATAACATGTATGCATCTATTCGATGTGCTTTCCAGCGCTTACAGTACTTTACCGGGAAAAAACAATCCATTTGAAAACCATGGAAGTTCGGGATACCCAAACTATTTGGACACAGCCACGTCCGAACTCACGGTGGGGTACCTACCACTGGACCTACCATTGGTCAGAACCATATTAAAAATTAACAAAAGCGAATGGCAGATTCATTTGACCAGCGGTAGAACTTAATAAACTTATACAATACATAAAGCATCTGTGTTGCTGGTCCTGGAGTCTTTAGTCATGGGGGTTATTTCTTATAACCAGTACACGTCTGTATTTTGACTCATCCACTAGTCTGGTCTAGTCTTGGTCACCAACCCAAGGGAGACTCCCCCAGAAGCACGAATCACCATGTGGATGTTGGTTCTTACAGTAGCAAGCCCTGAATGAAAAAGCTCAACCATGACTTGCGGCTGCCTTTTGTGGGTTGAATCACCATGAAAATCCATGAAAGTATAGAAACCGTGGGACACCGTGGGACCACAAATTGGAAAGTTGTGATTTTTTCCGAGCTGAAGCATCCAATGATTGGCTGGTTGGTGGTTGACCTACGCCGCTGAAAAATATGAGTTCGTCAGTTGGGATGATGAAATTCCCAATAGATGGAAAATAAAAGCCATGTTCCAAACCACCAACCAGTATATATATATATATATCCCATATATTATCCCAATGGTAACACTCAACAATGGTTGAGTACCCAATTTCTTTCCATCCCCCGGTTTCTTCCAGCTGCCCAGCTGCTTGCTTTGGCCGCCCAGGACATCGATCAGCCCCTGGCGGAACCAGCTGGCAGCATATTCCGCGCTCTCGAAGAGGTCCTAGGAACCGACCAGGCCGTGATGGTAAGATGGGGGGATTCAGCCGATAGTTAATTGTTCATAGGATTAGTTTTCATAGATTTAATAATAGTTAATAATCATAATAATGAGTGAACCAGGATATATGGTACCAGATGATTTCCATTTTTTTTATTGGCGTGATGGTACCTGGTAGATGTACGGATAGTTCATGGTCCCCTGGGATGTTCCATTTTGAAGTAAACTGGCAATCAGAGGCAACCCGTGAGCACCCCTCATCCATCAACGTTCACAGGAAGGGTTTCCAACCCGAAAGTTATTCTTATCAACAAGAAAAAACGTGAGCTGTCAAACCACCAAACGACAACATGGCCATTTCTGCACCGGAACTGGGGCTCCTTCAACCCTGCAAGCGGGCTTACTTGCCTGCCTCGGGCTAAACTTCAACTTGTAGTATAGTTATAGTTACTGGCCCACAAAATTACCTGGTCATTGCAACTCCTCCAGCAGGATCAAATATGTGTCCTGCAGGAATTAATCGGGATGATTCTTAAAGAATAGGGACTGAAATGCCCAAATGATCATGTATTTGAAACTGAAAACATCCGAAAACCAAACTAAACCACGCTCCAGCTTCGTAGTTCAGTGAATGCCAAAGCCATTCTTCCTGGGCGGCGGCTGAGGCATCCACATCAGTTTCCTGCTGAAACTGGAGCTCCCACTTTGTAGATGAGTCTTCTGCTGGGGATTCATAACAAGCATCCCAATTTTGTGTCTTAATATTGGGTATCCCTAGACCATCCAAGTACCAATGAAAATTAGGCTTTTGCTTTTACCTACCACATCATCTTAGTACTTTTCCCATTTTTGTTGGGGTATTTGGACGGTCTAGGTGCCTGGATTCTTGGGATTCTTAGCCCTGCAACGGTCGATCATTCGGAAATGCGAAAAATGCTTGGTGGAGGCCACCCCGTCAGTTGGGCAGAAAAATATCCCAAACGGGGTCGAAAACACATAGTATTTGGACGCACCAAGTAAGACTAGCTATACCTAGACCTAGCTTTTATATGTTATTATTGGGGATCCCAGATTTTACATGGACATTTTCCATGTCGCCATGTCCAGAGCCACCTTGTTCTCGTCCGTGACCTCGATCTGAGCTCCACCTGCTAGCAGAACTTTGTACCGGAAAAAGAGATGGCTTTCCCGGCTGAGTTTCAGGAGCTTCACCAGGCTTAGAACCAACATGAAACAACCATTTATTGGTTGCAAACTTAAAATCCACCATGAATTAAACATGGGGCTGCGTTGGACCCAAACAAAAACATCTTAGTTTTCGCATTAGCCACACCCGCCTGGCAGGAACTCCTTCTTTTCGTTCGAGAAGGTCAGCATTCCCTTCAAACCCAAGTCTTCCAATGGCATCCTCGGCCCCAACTAGTCCCCGATGAAAGAGCTGCTTTCACCAGCCAAAACAGGGATTGAACGCTCAAACATAGAGGTTGACACCCTGAACCATGGATGTGGCTCACTGTGGCTGTGTCTGAAAATGCATAGTTTATCCCAAACATGCGACTTTATTTAATATTTCATGGGGACATCTGACATATTCTTTTCCACCAGATCCATGCAATCCCATTGATCCATATGGCTTCGTAAACAAAATTGATGATACGCCCCTGAGAAAAAAAACAAACAACTGCCATTTCAACGTGTTTTTCTTCGTCTTTTGGATCCAGTAAATTTGGTGGTCCATTTTCGGCCAAACAACACATGCTCCAAGTATGACCGGGAGATGAGCGATGCTGGATGGTATCTGGATAGGGTACGTATATAAAACACTATGAATGAACTAGCCTGGGGAAAACTCACATAGATGTGGAAAACACACCATGTGTGGATCATTTTTCTAGGGAAACCCATGGGTTTTCCACATCTATTAGTGTACTTAAATACCTGAGCCAGTTTTGGAGGTGCCGGATGTAGAAACATCAATCTGAGTGTTTTTTTTCACCTACCACTTTATAAATGATACATGGGTTTGTATCAAAAATAAGACACCCCCGCATCGTATGGTTTATCATCAGTTTCCATAGTCTTCAATTGCCATTTGGGAATATACACCATTTCGAGGCAGAACCATTTTGTCTGGAAATGTTAGGGATGATTCTAATCAAACATCACCCAACTATTGGGGATATGTATATATATATATAATTATATATAATTAAATATATAATCTCCAGCAGGTGATGTTGTCCGTTTAAAACGGGACATTTACGACCCCCCAAAGGTGGTGATGTTTTGTGCATGATTCTCCTCAGGAAAGTCATCCCAAGTCGTGAAAAACACATGGTGAATCTTAGATACCAGCTAAAAAATAGATACCTTCTGGTAAACTAACATAACTATGGAAAATCACCTTTTTTAATGGGGAAACTCACTATAAATGGCCATTTTCAATAGCTATGTTAGTATATCAGAGGGTAATAGATATTGTTAGTACAATTTACCATTTATCCATTTATGGCCAAAGATTGAAGTATTAGTTCCTATCATTTCCTATCTATATAACCAAGGTTGACCCAGAACAATTCCACCAAGCTACTGCAGAAAATCCTCCCGACAACGATAGTCCGTTGCGTCGCCGGCTTCATGTTTAAACTCCGCCTGGCCCCGTGTGGATGGATGATATACTGGAACCAACACAATTTGGGATAGCTACAGTTATGGCCATTTACCAGTTATAACTTGTTATAAATGGGATTATACATTCTATAAATGGGGTTATAAGTACTTACAACTGATAAATGGCCATAAATGTACTCATATGATCTGATATTTATATAATATATTATAATATATTTCCTAAAGTTGATCATCATTTCTGTAGTCCAAACATGTTTGCCTAAATCCTGGTGAACAAGCGGATGAACCGCCCATGAAAAAAAACAAAAAAACACGTAAGTGGCTGAAGGACTGATGAAACTTGGTAAGGCTGGGCTGATGGAATGCTGTAGTTTCTCTCTTAAGTCATGCACCCAAAAGAAAACACACTCATAAACTATTACTATTTTACATAGGGAGATTTTACTATCCTTCTGCGGGTTGATATAACCAGAAAGAACAAGGAGTCTAGGTTTTTTCATTACCGTCTATATACCGTCTACATCTTTGTATTATTACAATTCCTACAATGTTGGCCCCTACTACTCTTAGCTGAAAACACCGCATCTCAATCAACTCTGAAAGGCAAACCCTGCAGTAATGTGTAGTTCGGTCACCTATTGTACTGGTCTTTTTTTGCTGGCCTATATAGGGGGGCCAAACAAAATAAAACATGTTAAACTTTTCTGCATCATTTCCAGGGTTACCTAATTATATAATGTTACATCTGGATGTTATAGACCAAAAACGTATTTCCTCCTAATTTCCATGAATTTCCAGGTTACCAACTTTTATATCTACTTGAGGGTTGCTCGTTAACCAACGGACAATCCTTCCCAATCGTCGCCTGCAGCTCTGAGAGGCTCTTGGGCTTCAAATTCAGCAGCAAACGAACGAAGGGCCGGGATAAGGGACGGCCCAACTTGCAGCCGTGCCTTTGGGCATCCCCAGTCGTCATCCATGACTCGATGATTGAGGGACGAGGTACTGGTGATGGTTGTTCATGACAAATAGATGGAGCCGTTGGGGATCATTGAAACCACCAACCAATGTAGAACATGTGAAAGTAGCAGGTGTGAAAGTAGCTAGCAGTCGTTTTTGCATGCCTATATGTGAGGGGGTCATACACATATATATATATATATATATATACTGATATGTAATGCCAGCAATCAAAACACTATTTTCCAATTTCCAATTTCCAAGGCATCAAAGAGTCATCTCTTGCAGCCGCAACATGCAACATTCTCTAATTGGAAAATCTATACAAGCGATCAATGGCCCTGGTAATCCGGCAAATGTGATTGATTCGCACGGATCGCTGTGCATTGCAGCAAAGCTTCCTTCAGCCAGTTAGCCAATTCAGGATCGCTCAAGGACAAAAGACTAAAGGGCTCGCTGTTAGACCGCTGATTTGTACAAATTTGGTCGATAACAGCTTTCGCCAAGCCCTTGGAAAATCGGTTCGGATACTCTTTGCACACAGCTGTTTTGAAATGTCCATGTTGGTCCTTGCCGATAGCAACATCCGTAGGAAGCACAGCATCGGGATCAGCACAATCATACATAGCTTTTGCCAGCCGTGGAACACGCAAACTCAATAATCCAGTGGGTTTTCGCACTGGTGCTCCCCACTGCCATTGATTGAAGATGCGCAAAGAGATATCAGGGTGCTGTAGTAGTAACTGAAGGATGGCACTTGTCCAAATGGAGGCTTTCTCAGCGTCCTGTGGGGGCGCCGGATGTTCACTAATGAACAGTCCACCTCTCGTGAGATGCCACACACAGACCATCACAGCTTGCAACATGAAAGCCGTTCCCTGTCGACACTGTCTAAGTTCCTTAGGCCGTAGACCAGCTAAACCGAATAGTCGTGCAAACGATCTGAGCGGCCTAGGCCATCTAGATTTGGCAGCGGGTTCAAGGTCCTCAGGCGGCGGCACATGGCGCGCAGCTGAAAATGTCTCACAGGGGCTACCGCAAATCGTTGCGGCAACTTGCCCTGATTGATACAGTTTTTCCAGCTGACTCCAAGAATGGGACTGAGACGAAAGGTCACCGTAGTGGGCCGAAACCGCAGTGTCCATAGACAGTACTGCCACATCGAGTCCTCGTTGTCTGGAAATTTGCGCAAGATGCCAATAGACATCGCCTTCTCTACGTCTGCCACTAAATAAATGGACGACAAGAAAAATAGGCTTCACAAATACCCCTTGCAACAAAGAAGTGCGAGCATCGGATGGGACAGTCTGCCATTTGGTCATTCGCAATTCATCATGCCATTCCGTCTGACCTTCGAATTGGGTATAGATGGCATCCACATTGCGCTGGGCAGCGCGCATTCCCCTGCTATCAGCCGCAACCTTAACAACCCTATGTGCAACGTCCTGTGTCAGCTCTTCTCGAGCTTGGGCAACACAGCGCTGCAAAAAAGAGAGTCTGTCACGGAGTTGGCTACGCGGCATGTCTCTAGAGACTTCGTAAAGTGCATTATCTGCAAACTGCTCTGCTTCTCCATCGACAAATTCCGCCACAACATCGGGCAAGTCCGCTTGCCCCCAAGCAAGGAGTCCATCAGAATACCAGCTATCAAAATCATGAGGCCATTGAATCAAGTAATCATACCAGTAGTCCTCGAGAGGACCCGAGACTGCAAGGTCATATGATGCTTCACAAAATCGGGCAAACCACTGCCTAGTAGCCTGAGTCAGGCCCATTCTCAACAACCCATCCGCTGCAACCACGTCAGGAGGTTTTTGAATATTTTGCAACTCCTCCTGAATGCGTGCAATCTCACACTGCCAATTGGTGATTTGAGTCTCCAATGCATGTTGGAAAGGAATCATGGGGCCGGCACTTTGGACAGCTTCCGTTCGGTTGGCACCCCTGAGTCGCACAGGAAAATTCACGCACTCATAAGCAGCGGAATATCCACTTTTCCGCAGCGTCTGATAGCATGCATTTCTGCCCGTTTTTCGGGATATGTATGCTAGGTGTTGTTGCAATCTTTGGGTCGTCCAAAAGTGTACTAGGCAAACTGGGCAAGTGGCGCCTTCCAAAAGGTCATGTTCTTGGGAAAAAACACCATGTGCTTTCCTGCGATGCGTGGCAAGCCCTTGGCCTGTGTCAAAGTGTCTACCACATGGACATAAAAATGAACCTTCTCCTCTCGCTCGCCCAAAAAATGGTGGGTCAAACGTAGCCTGAAATTGGTCAAGCTCCCGGAAAACTTTTCTGTGCCAGGCAAAAACATCCTGCATCATGCCTTCCTGATAGAGGTGTCGCTGTCCGGCCTTACGGATCAAGGCTTTCCATCCAGGGGCACCTCGCTGCCAAAAATCAATAGGCTCTGTCAAAGAAACGGTCCATTCTTCTGGGATAGCATCTGGGACAGTGTCTTTAAGCCATCGGAGATCAGCAAAAAGCCCACTAATCCAAGAATTAGGCAGGTCACGAAATTCAATCTGAAGTAAGTGTTGTGCAAATCCTGGTCCATGTTGAAAAAGCTTATGCGCATAAAGAAGTCGGTCTTGAGCGAGACGGATTCTCGGCTCAAGGAAGCCTGCTTCAGCAAAAATTTGCCCATCAGATTGGCGTTTGCCGGAGAATCGCCTCCCAGTGGCCAAAATACTGCAAAGATAGTGCGCAAGCGTCTTCCGGAGCTGATGGAGTTGCTGCGCCGTTGGCGTTGGCCATGCTCCCAAACCGAAATACAAACGAGTGCATACAAGCGCTTGGAAGAGTCGCAAGCGAATCTTAACAGGAATATACTTATTGCAGAAAACCTGTCTCCTCATTGCACAAAACGCCGCTGCGGCCTGTCCTATACGATACTTAACTTCTTCAGTGAAATCAAGCTTGCTGGCAAATTGGGAGCCTAAGTGCCGGTAGGTTGCCGACACGTGGACCCAGTGATGGCGCTCCCCATCCAGTTGACACCAAAATCCACTGGGCTCACAAAGGAGGAACTCCTGTCGCAAAGCAGGTGCACCGTGGCCCTGAAATGTGAGAACAATGCCAGTCTTTCCACGATCCATGTTGAGGTCGAAACCCCGCCGTGTAAAGAATCGGTCAACAACTGTAAGAAGTTCACGAAGTGCAGGTACAAGCGCAGTTGCAGTTTCAGTACACCAAGGGATGGCGAGGTCATCACTCCAAACAATGGAATCAATATCTACATCCATTCGTTGTAGGGCATCTTGAAATTCAGGCTGCATTTCGATCCAAGCATTAATCTCCGTCACAATGTCAAGCATTAACACATGAAAAACCACATCAGCCAACGGGCTTCCAGGGCGTGTGCCCCGTCGAGTACGAGTAATTCCAGGTTGAGAAGCCAAGGTATGCCACGTGTTGGTATGGACCTCACGCATCAATTGCACCAGGATTGGGGATGCACCTAACCTTTCAAGAAGACCAGGCACTCGTAGCCATGCTCTCAAGCCCTGTTGTGTTCCATGATCACGTTCAAGAAGATCAATGACTGCTTGGGCATCAGCAGCAGAACCAACTCCGCAAACCAACTCACGAACAAGTCGATGGAAAGCATTGGACAAGTCAACAAAAAGGACTCCAGTGCTAAACCCATGCTGGTTTGCCACACGGCAGAATGTGCGCAGTGCTTGGGATGCAAAACCAACCTGCTGGTGTTTAAATCCACCGATTTGCCCTTGTGGTTTGATACGTTCAATCAGTTGAATGGTGCTGAGTCTAAGGATGGCATGAACACGTTTAGCAACTGACGGCAAAAGCATAATACCACGAAAATGCTGTGCTAGTGTGGCTGTCATTCTCTTCGGGATGACGGCCATTACACCGCCTTTATATGCGATCGGTTCAGCCTGCCAAAGATAAAATTTGAGAATCAAATCAAAGAATAATCGAGCAGTCTCGGTCGGGAAAACATGGTAAAGGGCCGATGCAATTGGGTCAAGGCCAGTGGACTTGCCCTTCTGCGTGCAACGAAACATCTCTTCAATCTGCTGCAATGACGGGACATCACAAAGCTCACACACCGGCTGCACACTTCCATTGGCCATTTGGTCTCTGTGGCAACTACTAACAAGGTCAGGGGCCGATACAAAACTACCAGCCTCCAAATGCTGGAAGTAAGGATGCCATTGATCTTCTAAAGATTCGAGTCTCTCAGGCGGCGTGTGCATGCGTCGTTGTTGAAACTTCGGGAGTGACCTGCGGATGACCTTCCATAACTCTTTGGCTTGATGCGGCTGAACAAAGTCCCCTGCATCTTGTGCCAATGAACGGAAAAAAGCCACATCGTCAGCTCTCATTGCCTTAACCACTTGCCGGCCAAGGTTACGGAACTGGAATAGTGCTTGCGCTATCAATGAGTCCTGCTGGGCAATAATCCTATTCATGGTGGCAGAACAATGCTTCATGCCAGGATCTTTCAGACTTTGGAAGCAAAGCCGCAGCACGGTCTGCCGTTGGAGATCCTGGGCTTCCCAGAGATGGTTTCTCCAGTCTCGCTTTTCACAAACAAGATTCCATGTCACCTCAGTCATGTTAGTCTTTCGTGGTTTCCTACGGCGAGGGCAAGGACGCCTGCCAAGGATTTGGATAATCTGTTGTTGCAGGAGATATGCATGAGTATGAACATCAACTGACAATTCGGGTCTTTGGATTTGAAGAAAATCAGTGGCATCAATCAAGGCAATCTGGTCATCATGCAGCTTCAAGGGTGAAGTGGCATGTTGGTAGGAACCGGATGGACAGGCACCTTCCAACTGTACAATGGCAGCTCTGTGGTCTTCCTTCAAGGTTGCGACATCAATGACATCGCTCACGAAGGCTTTGCAGTGGGTAAAATTCCATTGCGCTGGGATTCCAATAAAATCACCTCTCAACCACGTGCCATTGGTATGCAACCATGTTCCCCCGGGTCCATGCTGGCAACTATCAAAAGTGCAGGGCAGCCATAATCCTTGGTCACCTAAAAACGAACGAAAGAATTCGGATTTAGGTGTTTCAGTTTCTGGCTGGTGTCCACCAATATACGGAGTCACAACACTTCCAACCCTTGCATTCGCGTCACATAAGAGCAAACGCGGCCAATCATTGTACCTGGGTGGGACCAATTTCCCAACATGAATCCACCATTCCTTGACTGAGTCATCGGTGTGTCCAGTATGTGGGGCATGCGCTGCGACAACGATACATCGTACAACTGGCGTGCGCAATCGCACAACAAGGACACGAGGTTCTGCTGCAATCACAGATATATGCGTTTCTTGAAAGTACACTGGTGTTGGTTGTGGAGCAGTCGGTTTCTGCAACCATCCATGCGGGCTCAGCCGGCTAAATCCAAGCAGAATGCCGTAACATCCATTGCTGGTAGCAGCGCTTTTAACAAGCACATATCGGGGATCATGTGATCTGTAGAGCTTCCGCAAACGAGTCTCTTGCAAGGCAAGAATGTGCACACCCTGCGCTTTGAACTGCTCGAGAATGGCATCTTGGCGAGAGATTCCATCAATACCTCCTACATGGTCTTCCTTACCTTTCAACGTCAAGACATTACAAGTCCCTAACGTCAATGTGTAGCGCCCTAGAACTTCGTCGGTCGGTGGGGCAGCCACAGGATTTTGCGGAAGAACTTCTGTGCTCGGTATGGTGGTCGGGTGCTTGGGTAGGCACAGACATGTCTCTTGCCAATGCCTGGAATAGGAAGGATCAAATAGGATCCACATCCATTCCAATGCGCGAGCACATGCAGGGGAGAGAATATAATCAAGAAACGGTTTAACATCATGGAGACCTCCGTCTCGTGCTGCAGATTCGGCAAGTGCATCCACAAGTTCATTACCTGGTTCGCCTTTGTGGCTTGGGATATGCCACGACTGCGGTTTAATGCCAAACCGCGCTTCAATAAGCCGGTGCAGGCTGCGCATTGCACTGGTAGCCATAGGTGCCTTATAGCTATTCCAGGCTCCGGCCATCTGCTGCCCGACTGTAAGAGAATCAAAACCGATCCAAATTTCGCAAGGCGAAGTCTGGGCAAACAAAACTTGTTTGGCAAGATCAAATGCAAACTTAGAAGCAACCAGGGCCGCTGCTACTTCAGGGGTGTAAGAATCAGAAGCTTGGATGCAACTAGATATCATCCCTGCAGAAAACCATGCTGTGCCAGCACGAATGAAGGCCGCAACACCAATACCAGCACCCTTCTCCTCTGACCTAAATGAGCCATCAAGATAAATCCATATAGCATCACAAGGTTGCCCAATCATCCAGGGTGGCAGGTCAACCCAATGCCGACTGGCAGGCAACAATTGAACGCCTTCAGGAACAACAAGGCTCGGCAGAAAAAGATGCATGTCAATCCATTCAAATGCCACGATGGCTGGCTTCAGTTCAAGTCGCACCTCATCAGTTTGTGAGTGATCACGGTCATGCGGTTCAGTCAGACTGACTCTACTTGCACGAGTCTGGAGGAAATTCAGTCCTTCAGTACCTGGCGTCTCAGGGACAATGGGTGGTTGCCAATCAGCAGGTAGCATAGTCCGGGTTACTTGTACAACAATACAATTACCATCTCGGACTGCAAGCGGACTACCCGACTGCACAAACAACCTTTCAATCCACAGTGCGCATGTTGTTCCTGGGCATTGACAGTCACGCGTATACCCAAGAGCATTGATCACCTCCGGAATAGTAGTTCGCTCATTAAGTGTGAGAACAACTCTAAACGGCATTCCCTGATTGATCGCTGAATCATAAACAGTGACTAATGGCGAAGACTGATCATGCAGTTCATGCTGTATCAGCAAAACATGTGCGCTGATAGAGGGTTCCAGGTGTGGCGGAGCCGGTTGCACAACTACAAATGAGATAGGGCTTGTGGGATCAATAAAGTCTCTCCACCGAGCTTTCATTTTTCCTTCCCATTGCGTGAAATCTTGGAAGAGAGTTACTTTCCTGCTTTGCAAACATCTCATCTGTCCAAGGCCTGGTGCAACGAACCATGTGAGAATATGCGCAGCTCGTGATTCGTTCTCCCACTCAAAAGCACAATTGTCCCAACAAGCAAACAAATTTTGCAAATGTTCAGGCTGGGTGTGGATCGACCCCTGTCCAGGTTGGAAAACGGCTGCATCCGGATTGAACCGGAATAGCGAGTTCTGCATAAACGCAAGATCTTCGAAGTGCAATCTGACCTCTTCAGCTTCATCGGCTTCCGGGTCTTGTGCAACAACACGCAAATAAAGGCTTGAGCCAGTCACCACATCAACACAATCCTGGTCAGGCACAGCTCGACCATTGGAGAAGAGTATGCATTGATTCCCAGCACAGTAATATGTGGTGTCCATTGCTCGTATCACTTCTGCCAAATTAGTGCGCGTGCTGATAGAGAAGGCACCCTGGACCATGCCGTCACGAGCTGTCCCTTCAATGAGAGTCGTCAATACAACGGCAGCACTCTGGTCGTTGGGCGCCTGCTCAAGAATGATATGGCATGCACTGCGGAAGGATCGGAACTGTGGAGGCCTAGGTCGCACTACAAACACCGCAAAAGGCAAGCTAACATCAAGCAAATCGCTCCATGAGTTGCGCAGCGCATCAATCCAAGTGATAGGATTATTTGCAAGGTTAACATACCTTGGTCGATGGCATGTCGGTCTCCTTGTATGGTGAATGTACCACACAGTCGCTTGTATAGTGACTTCATCATCCCAAGCATTATAGTCAACAGCCGTCTGAAAGGAAGGAGCTAAATCTTCAATCCATTGTTCACCACCATCATGATAAGGCCTCGGCGGTCGACGGACATGCTGATCCGGAAATGTCATGGGAAATTCATCATTTTGGACATTGTCACCTTGCTTGCAGAGTCGTGGCTGGGGCAGGATCAATGTTGCATTACGCTGAAAGAGACTAAAAGCATCAGCAATTTGATCCGTGAAAATGTCAAGCTCAGCACCGGAAACCAGCACTGACAAGGACGTTCCCGATCTGATGATAAGACTCTCATCAGGGAAATATGTCTGTCCAGCCATCTGAATGATGGTCGGCCGGTGGGAGTGCTCGTTGGGAACTGCCAGCCGTAAAATATCCCTTCCAGCCACACGGCTAAGAAAGACATGTGCAAATTGTCGCGAGGGCATCCTGAGCCCATCTGTCCCTTGGACAGTGATGAGCACCGCGAAGTGATCAGTGGGCAAATCCTGAGTGACAAAAACATGCGGACATTGCCCTTCAGTTACCCTCGAGTTGACCAAAGTGGACAAGACTTCAATTTCGGCTGCGCTTCCCCGGATCAATCTTTCGCGCCACGGAAAAATAAAATCTGTCCTCCACATGAATGGGTCATTGGTGATACGCACAAGACGTGGGGCATCACAGTGAAAGTCAACATTTAAATTGAGGTACCATACTGCAATGTTCAAAAATGGAACCGCCTCAGTTACATTAACTTCATGATGAAATTGAAAATGCCTTTCCAGCACTTGCAACCACTCAGGTCGAGCATCTGCTTGCAACGTTGCATTGGGTAAGGCAAGATTTGGCAACGTACCTCCTCCGCCTTCATGGGCATTCAGGAAGGCAGGTTCTGGAGGCCGGTCAAAAATTTCACCATGAATGGCTCTCTGCAGAATACTACGAATCTGAGAGTTTTCCATCAAAAGCAACTGTGGAATGTCAATCGCAATACCTCTGCTGATTACCAACCTAAAAGCATTGCCGTCTTGCACGTTAACTTCATGTGTACGGCCTATAGGGATGCTACCAAACCATAAATTGCATAGGTTGCGAAAATTGGTTGGTGGGCAATCAGGCTGCATGTGAAGCAGTACAACTAAGCGTTGAAGGTTGATTCGTCGTGGAGAGGTCAAAGCGAATGTGTATGGGTTTCGTTCAGCGTCCTCATCTGAGTCATACACTGATAAAATAGTGGAACGGAACTCTGCCCTTTCGCCCTCTGTGATGACAAGCTGGGCAATTGTTCCTGCTGCACTATCTTCCGGCTCCGGGGAAACCAAAGCAAAAGTCAGAGCCTCACTATCAAGCACTCGATCTCGCCATGTCGCTGCAAGTTGTGAACGCCAACGCGTGAAGTCAGCTGACAACAGAGTGATTCGCGAGGCGTGACACTTTTGATATGTTGTGTGATGCAGAAACCAGCTCTCAATTCTATAATTCTCTGGTACCGGCAATGCACTAACATCCATCTGGATAGAGATGCGGTCCCAGATTTCATGAAAGGCTGTAGGCTGAGCATCAATCGACATTGGATCAAGAGGTGCAGGTTCCTGCTGGTTAGCTTGTCTGGCCGCCTCGACTGCCTGCAGGAATTCATCAGTGAGACTACCGCAAGGGATCTCACTCCCAAGGGGCAAGACAGCATCGTTGGAATGTCCAGACACCCAAACACTCTGCTGTAACAAGCCAACATTGTCCTCTTGTGTTTCTTCATCTGAAGATCCCGTGCACGGTTTGATTTGTACTTTAAGGCCCAATCCAGACCAGGTACGAAATGTTTGCTCTTGACTCACAAGTGCTGGGTTTTCCCAAATCATAGGATTACGCCTGAATGAAAAGAAAATCACAATAGCCTTTTTTAGTTGCCGGCCATCCCGGCCACGGCCCGGCCACGGCCACGGCCACCCGGCCACCCGGCCACCCGCCACGGCCACCGGCGGCCACGGCCACGGCCACCCGGCCACGGCCGGCCACCCGGCCACGGCCACCCGGCCACCCGGCCACGGCCGGCCACCCGGCCACACGGCCACACGGCCACACACGGCCACACGGCCACACGGCCACACGGCCACACGGCCACAATTTATTTCGACAGCCTTTCCCCACATGCCCGAATTCAAACGGCTGTATTGATCCAGCCAAGACAAACATAGCCGAACACATCATGCCGTGTGCTTGGTGCAGTTGAAGCAGCTCTTGCTATGGAGGCGAGTTGACTCAACTACGTGATTGTGTATATGTGCTGATCGCAACATAGCACGTAAGCATCTGACGTAGATAAAATAAGTAGATAAATGGATAGGTAAGATAGATACGATAGATTAGATAGGTAGATAGATAGATAGGTAGAAAGATAGAAAGAAGATAGATAGAGAGGACAGATAAGATAGATAAGACAGACAAGATAGATAAGATAGAAAAGATAGATAAGATATATAAGATAGATAAGATAGATAAGATAGATAAGATAGGTAAAATAGGTAAGATAGAAGATAGATAGATAGATAGATAGATAGATCGATAGATAGATAGATAGGATAGTTAGATAGATAGGTAGATAGGTAGATAGATAGATAGATAGATAGCTAGATAGCTAGATAGATAAGTAGTTAGATAGCTAGATAGATAGCTAGATAGATAGATAGATAAGATAGATAGATAAGATAGATAATAGATAGATAGATAAGATAGATGATAGATAGATAATAGATAGATAGAGATAGATAAGATAGATAATAGATAAGATAGATAGATAGATAAGATAGATAAGATAGATAGAGATAGATATGATAGATAGATAGATAGGTAGATAGATAAGATATAGATAGATAGACAAGATAGATAAGATAGATAAGATAGATAGATAGATAGATAAGATAGATAAGATAGATAAGATAGATAGATCGATGGATAGATAAGATAGATAAGATAGATAAGATAGATAGAGATAGATAGATACGATAGATAGATAAGATAGATAAGATAGATAAGATAGATAAGATAGATAAGATAGATAGGATAGAGATAGATAAGACAGATAGAAAGATAGATAGATAGAGAGGACAGATAAGATAGATAAGACAGACAAGATAGATAAGATAGAAAAGATAGATAAGATAGATAGATAAGATAGATAGAGATAGGTAAGATAGGTAAAATAGGTAAGATAGAAGTAAGAAAGATAGATAGATAGAAATCGATAGATAGATAGATGCTAGGTAGATAGGTAGATAGATAGATAGATAGCTAGAGATAGAGATAGATAAGATAGATAGCTAGATAGATAGCTAGATAGATAGATAGATAGATAAGATAGATAAGATAGATAAGATAGACGATAGATAAGATAGATAAGATGGATAAGATAGATACGATAGATAAGATAGATAGATAAGATAGATAAGATAGATAATAGATAGATAGATAAGATAGATAGATAGATAGATAGATAAGATAGATAGATAGACAGATAGAAAGATAGATAGAGAGAGGACAGATAAGATAGATAAGACAGACAAGATAGATAAGATAGAAAAGATAGATAAGATAGAAAAGATAGATAAGATATATAAGATAGATAAGATATAGATAAGATAGGTAAGATAGGTAAGATAGGTAAGATAGGTAAGATCGATAAGATCGATAAGATCGATGAGATAGATAAGATAGATAGATAGATAGATAGATGGATGGATGGATGGATAGATAGATAGATAGATAGATAGATTAGATTAGATTAGATTAGATCAGATTAGATAGATGGATAGATGGATAGATGGATAGATGGATAGATAGATAGATAGATTGATAGATTGACGGATAACTAGATAGAAGATAGATGTTTGGATCGATGGACGGATAGATAGATAGATGCGTAGACAGATAGGTAGATAGGGAGAATGGTAGATAGGTAGATAGGTAGATAGATGGATGGATGGATAGATAGATAGGATGATAGACGGATAGATGGATAGGTGGATAGATGGATAGGTGGATAAGTGGGTAGATGGATAGGTGGATAGGTGGAAAGATGGATGGATGGATGGATGGATGGATATAGATAGATAGATAGATAGACAGATAGATAGATAGATAGATAGGTGGGTAGGCGGATAGACGGATAGATGGATAGGTGGATAGATAGGTGCGATAGATTAGATAGAGAAGATAGATTGAAAAGATTAGAAAGATTATGTAGACTAGATTGACCGGATGGAATAGATAGATTTGATCGGGTAGATAGATGAGATCGATTTGATAGAGTAGATAGGTTAGATGAGGTAGATTAGATCGACTAGGCGGGTTTGATGGATATAGAGTAGAACAAAATAGAGCAGCATAGAACAGACTAGAATAGAATACGGTTGGATGCATAAGAATGAAATAGGCATAGAAAAAGAGGTAGAAATAGAATCATTTGAAGAATAGAGAAGAAAGATGTCTAGATCGATAAATCAGCTAGACTAGCCAGATTAGCTAGATTAGGTACGCTAGATAGATTAGGTCGATTATATAGAGTATAGGGTGGCTGGATAGATTAGATAGATTAGGTGGAGTAGGTGGGTTAGAAAGATTAGATCGATTAGGCAGGTTAGCTACATGAGGTAGGATTGGTAGTTAGATTGATCAACAGATTAGGACGATTAATCAGATTAGATAGGTGGAAAGCAAGATAGGTAGATAGATTGGTAGACCTGATTGATCGATTGATTGTCAAGTTGGGTTTAGAAAGATCAGCCTAGAAAGATGGACAGACCGATCGATCTATGGATCAATCGATGGATAGATAGATAGCTAGATAGACAGATGGATGGATGGATTGATTATAGATAGATTAGATAGGTTAGATAGATTAGATGGATTAGGTAAAGTAGATCGGTTTGGTAGATTAGATAGATTAGATAGATTGGGTAGAGTAGATTGGCTAGATGGATGGGGTAGAGTAGGTAGATTAGACAAAGTAGATGGGTTAGATCTATTGGATAGACTAGATTGATGTAAAAGGATGGAGAGGTTAGATAGATTAGATAGATTAGATTCAGGGTTTTACTGATTAGATCGATTAGAGCCTAGCGTAAATGGAATAGGCCGTAGGCAAATTAGATTAGATTTGGTTAGATTAGATTAGATTGGTTTAGACTAGTTCAGATTAGATTAGAGTGAAGTAGAGTAGAGTAGATTAGATGGTTAGCAAGATAAATAGATTGGAACGAATAGAGCGAATAGAAAGAATGGACAACTAGATAGATAAATCACAGACTTGCTGATACACTACTTAAGTATGTGCACGCAGACTTGCTGCTACGCTACTGGCTCGTCTGTTGCATGTGCATCTGCTACGCTACTTGCTCTTCTTTTGCTGCGCAGGCTTGCTGCTTTGCTACTGGCCTGCGCGTATAATTAGCACTGATGTGTATGGCTAAATTCCCCGAAATGTACAAAAAGACAAGCTGCTTGGTATGCAAGCGGACGGCAGACACCCGGCCACCCACCCGGCCACCCGGCCACCCGGCCACCCGGCCACCCAACCACCCGGCCACCCGGCCACCCGGCCACCCGGCCACCTGGCCACCCGGCCACCGACGACACACCCGACCACTGGCCACGGCCACCCGGCCATCCGGCCAGCCGGCCATCCGGCCATCCGGCCAGCCGGCTATCCCAACCACCCAGCCGGCCACGGCCACGGCCACGGCCACGGCCACGCACGGAAAAAAGCAATCCTCAAAGAAAATTGGTACCGCCGCAGAAACATCCCTCTGAGTGCAAAGTTTGGGAAGCACTGCCGCAACTCTGATGATCACACTGGGTTCGGTTCGTTCTGTGAATTCCATAGAGAGCAAGACAGAAGATTGTCCAGCATATCTCTGTGTGATAATGACATGGCCGAGATGCTCTTCAATGTGAGCTCTCGGAGAGTTAGGCTGCACAAGGTCGAGAAGGACTCGTTCCTCGGGCTCAATCCAAAATTGCCATGGCTGGAGGATGTCTGCTTCCCATTCACTGGGGTCACTACCTAAAATAACTATTTTAGGTTCGCGACATATAGGGTGCTTGTCATGATCTAGAAACCATGTGTATATACTGAAACTGAATTCCTCGTCTCGATCAGCATCACAATTTTGTACATGGCGTCCGACAATGCGTTGCAGATCAATGTTCCAGTCAGCCGGCAAGTCTTCATCTGAACTTAGTGCCTCAATAGGTTGCGTTCTTGATGAGGTCCAGTTTGTTTGCATGGCTTGGAAAGCATCATGGTCATTTTCGGCTTGTAAATCTGAGCCATTTCTGGGTGCAGCAAGTGCTCGTACTTCGTCTTCACCCAAAAGGCTAGGCGAATATCCGTCCTCAACTTCTCTCTCGGCAATATGGCCCACTATTTCAGCATCAGAGAGCCCATCTTGGGTCCAGCGCACAATCTGAGTTGTGGGGCATACATATCTTTCAGATGGTGGTATCGCGACGCGTATCAGGTCTCCATGAATCAAATGACGTTGTAGCAAATCAGTGTCTTGCCACCTTACATTGTTATACCAAACAAAGCACTTGTCATTCTCTCTGGCACAATACCTGTCAACATCAATCAACACCAAAATAGTAGCCCGATCACAGTATTCTGGGACCGCCAGGACAAACCGTTGCGTTGTGGGTCCAGCACGAAACCCTGCTTCAATAGGATGCGCATGGAATTCCAAATCAAAAAGCACCAATCTTGCATGCTGTCCAATCGCAATATCCGGGAAAAGGTGGACAATGATAGGAATGGCATTTGAAGGAAGACCAGTAACATCAGCATTGATCTCATATGCATCCATTACTTCAATAACAGTAGTAGCATAGTGATGTGCAATTTCACTGATCATGTTCTCGTAATTACTCCAATCAAGGAAAACACGCAATGGTGGATCGCCAACGTGAAACATGATGACTTCTTGCCGTGCTTCATCTAGATTGGATTGCTGCAAACGAGAATCGACTGAGGATCTGGATAATGCCGATTCAGATTCAAAACTCTCATGATCACTTTCTTCATTATGGTCCATGAAAGCATCAGGGACAGTGCGACCTTCTCCAAACATAGCAGCCATATCAACATTTTGATCAGGATGGACAGCTTGTTTAAAATGTAGGGCTTGCACAAATGAAGCAGTGTCATGTTGGTGTTCTTCAGCGGGACAAAATACGCAATCTCGGCTCAACATACTCAAGTGGGAGTATGGCTCCTGAGGTTGCTTTGCTTTCGATCGATATGAAAATGCTTTGCCATTAGTCGAATAAGGATTCTGTTTTCGGATACGCTTCTTACTCCAAGGTTTGGTGGGCCAGTTAAGCAAGGCAATCTGCGATACCTGAATCTTCCCCATAGCAAATTCTTCCTCATCGCCAAGAAAAATGTCAATTTGATCATCAAACCTAACATGCTTCATATGAACATCTAGGAATTGTGGTCTTTGAGACAATTTCAAGGTTGATTTACCGGCTGCACATCGGGGTTTCTCAATAGCAATCAACTTAGGAAAGCAAAAGAGATTGTCCAGGCAAACTTCCCATTGCAAACTCAAGGCATTCAAACTGGCTTGGAAAGGGCTCACATAGCGGGGTTCAAATTGGATGGAATGCGTCCATGTCAGGATTTGACTGGAAAAAGCGTCCCAACGGTCGCATGCTGCACCAGACAATAATTCAATTGGCTGATAGGCCTCAACGACCGGAGCAATGGACTTTGTGAAAATGGCCTCATGTACAGAATTCCTCTGAACTTCTGAGACACGGCCAACATTCACTGATTTCTGGATCCACCACCAGCAAAGGGTTCTAAGGATCGCGGTCGCTTTGAACGCTTTTCCTCGTCCACCTTGTCGTCTTCCTTGATCTCTATGGCCTTCTGATCCACATCCAATCCCAGTGAGCCCGCACAGCTCTGAAGCACTCCCTGGAGTTGCTTTCTGAGGACTTCTTCCTCTTTGTCGGCAGGATCTTCTGGAATCTCCTCCACCTCTACTGATGCGGATGGCGGCGGCATTGACGGCCCTCCAGCTGTGGCATTGCTTAGCTGCTGTATGATTCTGTTCCTGGCAGTAATCTCGGACCTCGCCTTTCCCGCTTGTTCCGTAAGCGTAGCCTGGTGCCTGCGGAAGTCTTCTAACTGCTTCTCCCACATCTTGATTCCATTGGACAAATGAGTCATCCAAAGTGAACGATGGGCACGTCGTTGGTCTGTGACTTCCTCTAGATGTTTTTTTCACTTTGCCCAAATACTTCGTGGCCTGGTGCAAGTTCTTGATCCCCATTCTTCCGGTCTCCTGTTCTGTTTTTTCGATGAACAGCTTTGTGTCCTCTGGCATTTTGGCCGGATCGGGGTATGCTTTGCGTAAATACTCGACCATCTCTTGTTTCTCGCTGGTAGTACTTGCTGGCATCTGAGAAGCAAATGGGCTTGAGGGTGGAGCTGTTGCAGGCGTGAATTGGGAAACATCCATCTGTGTCCAAGGTGCAAAACTGTCTCCTTGTTGAAATGGTGACACCTGTTCTGCTACTCCTCCTTGGCTCTGTGGCATCCCATGCTTCGTACCTTTCTTTCCTTTCCCTTTGCCTTTCTTTCCTTTCTGGATAGGCTTCTGCTGACTCGGCTGAGCTTGACCACCTCCATCTTGACGGTATCTGGCGGATGACCGACTTGATGAGCGGCTGGATGCCCAATTCAAATTCTCTTCCCAGTTCTCCCACTCTTGCCAACCGTATGTGTCCCAGTTTTGGGCCTCTTGATACTTGGGTTGAGTGGGGTGCCTGGTCCCATTTTTCCATGATCCCCAGCATACCGCACATTGGGTCGCATATTTCTTGTTGATTCTCCCACAAACACACCGCCAGGGGAAATAAGTATTGTTTGGGTCTTCTTCTTCCAGATTCATTGCTTTGTCGATTTTCGCAATGAAAGTGGCGTCTCTGCTGTGATGTGCACTTAGAATATGTCTGATCTTCCTCAAAGCAGGTTTGTTGAGCGAAATCCAACCTTGCTTGTGTAAAAACCAATTGCGTCTCGCTTTGGCCCTTTCTCTCCGCGCCTTCCGGCGTACAGTAGTTTTGAGCTGCGTAATCCTTAATAAATGTAAAAAGGACAGTAAAACCCAAAAAGATGTGTAGGAAGCTGCACATAAAAGGGCTCTTGGTCCAGATCAGCACAATGACCCGATGATACGCTCACCGGCAGAGGCGATAATAGAACTGAAGCGCAAAGAGGAAAATACCAGGGCGTACCGATACGATAAATACCAGGTTTGCGCGACAGGTCAATCTGTCCAAGTAAATGCAATCACTGTCAAAATTCAAAGTTCCCGATGAAATTGACACAAAATCAAATCAAATATACAAATGAATGAATGTACCCAAGGTCAAAGTGACAGCAGGGGCAGCACACAATTCGCCAGGCCAAATATCAAAATTGCTCAAATATCGCACAAATTGTAAATGAGGTCACACGAATTGAATTGGAAGCAAAATGTAGGCTTATTTAAAAGCAGCTACAAATATGCACCACACAGGGGTTTTTTGCCACTCCTAGGTTCACCCCAAACCTAGGTTCCAAAACGTAGGAACCCGCGGGTCAACCCGCTTAGGCAATGGCTGCAATCGCACCCTAGGTAACACGGCGGGTGGCGATTTGAGCCACAACCTTAATCAAAACACTACTGCTGATAAATGTATATATATATATATACACATTGTATATATATATATAATCACAGAAACCACAAGAAGTTATATGATTAAAATTAAAAATATTGAAAACATGCGCATATTAAATACATTTCCCCTAGATAGTTAAGTTGGTTTATAGCTCCAGTAACTAGGGTCTATTGGTACATATAACTATATATTTCATGGGTTTCATAAAAACACACTTGAATCTAACCTCGGCGGGGCCCACCATGAAGGTTTCCATGGTAAGTTCTGGATTTGATGATCCGGTGACGAGGAAGTTGTGGACATCTTAGTCTGGAAAAAAAGTGCCCTTTGACCATCAAACTTGAGGGAAAATCATGGAAAAATCCCTCACTTTTTCATGAGGGCAATCCTTAAAAAACTGCGAAGAATCCAGATAATCCTAGCTAGGACTTGGATCCCCGAATTCTTTGCCAAATACCCACAGGTATGGTTGATTGTTGATGGTGACATTTTATGAAAATTTAACAGATTTTCATTTTCGACATATTCAATTTGCCAAATGATCATCATCAAATTCCGTAAATCCCCAGTTTTACAATCATGCTCTATATGGAGGTTTCCAATCGATTTCGGGAACCCCTAAATTTTCATCCATATTATTACCGTAACATGTTCCACTAGATGGATGATTAATGAAATAGTTGAAAATCATCTACATTGATAAAATAGTTGTCCATATTAGAAACCATCCAGCTATTGGGGGTACTTCCATTTACGGAACCCCCCCTGGCTCTCCAAGCTACAGGATGGCCATCGCATGGACTCGGCCGCAAGCCTTTTGACAAAACTCAGGTGGTTGAGCCACTCACCCTCTGGTCATTTATGGGGCTACAATAATGGGAATTTGTGGGATTTATTGGGCTTTAAAATGGGATTTAGTGGATTGAAAATGACCACTTATTTCGTTGATTTGTCTATCAAACATGAACATTTTCCATAGCTATGATAGTCTACCAAAGGGTGTCAATGGGGACCATCATCCAGCAACAATGAGATTTTTTAGGAATGCGGTTGACCAATCTAATCCCAAATGGCTAATCAATCCAAAAATATCGGGCACCATATTCGTCACAAACAAAATCATCGAACATTTCTTGTGTACTCGTAATCCTCTGAATGATTGTGCAAATGTATGTATGTATGTATGAATGTATGTATGTATGTACGTACGTACGTATGTACGTATGTACGTATGTACGTATGTACGTTTGTACCTATGTACGTATGCATGTATGTACGTATGCATGTATGCATGTATGCATGTATGCATGTATGCATGTATGTATGTGTGTGTATATGTGTGTGTATATGTGTGTGTGTATATGTGTGTATATGTGTGTGTATGTGTGTATGTGTGTGTATGTGTATGTCTGTGTGTACGCGTATGTGTATGTCAGTGTGTATGTGTTTATGTATGTATGTATGTATGTATGTATGTATGTATTCCCTGTTGTCATGGAGTCATAGAGGAACGCCAATTTTTGAACAATTCTGGCAGTTGATCACTGAAATAGTTCCTGCAAATCCAAGATCGGAAAACAAATCACACAGCATAATTTATATATATATATATATGTAGAGAGCCTTAGTAGTTGTAAATATATAATAATGGCAAAACAATTGTTTTAATTCATGCACATATGTATATGTATATATCAATATCTATTTAAAATATATTATATATATAACGCCTTAAACAATTGTGTTCAATCGTTTTCAACGTTTCAACTTAAGATAATCTAAACCTTCCCCACAGTCGACCCATCGAAATCAATGCCGGTCCCGGAAGAAGTCGTTGGGAGTTTGCCGAAGCTTGCGTGGAACGCCATCAACCGGTCGCCTGGCTCGACAATCGATGAGGTCAAATGATCAGTGGGGTGCAGCATTTGAATCAAACCAGCTACTAATATCCGCCGACCCCGGCCTTGGCCAAGGCAGGGGCAGCGCCTGGGACCACCGCAGGTGTGGAACTTCTCCTTCTTAGCTTCCCAAGGTCAAACCCATCTCGCAGCCAACAGCGCTGCCCCAAGGCCACATCGCGTAAACATTCTCCTGGCATGCTTCATCCTGCAGTTAAGACTTCCAGGCATTTGGACATGAAAATTACATGCTTTGGGAAAGTAAGTTTTCCTGCGGAAGGTTTTGTATTTCAAGGCCAAAGCAGCCGTTCCCGCATTCCCGTAGTAAAGGTTCAAGTCATCGACAGCGATGAAGACGGCGGGGTCCGTCCTTTGCCTTCCGTGCGGGCACCAAACGCACGAGGCCGCCTGCGCCGGCTTTAACTGTGCAAGGCCTTCGGCACGGGCTTTAAATGTGCAAGGTGCTGGACAGCACTTAGCAGGCATGTCCTGTACCCATATGGGCGCCCATGGGCAATGGTTGCGGAGCTTGTCGGGGGTGGTCTACCTGCGTGTGGTGTTGCACTTGTTGCGCAGGCAATAGCGCTGCCCCAAGGCCACATCGCTTAAACATTCCCTTGGCATGCTTCATCCTGCAGCCAACAGGCACCCCAAGGCCACACATCAATGGCTTCTTATGGGCGTCCAAGCCTGCCGTTTGCCAGCCCTTAAACCCTTAAAACGCTTAAAACGCTTAAAAACCCTCAAAACCCTTAAAACCCTTAATGGGCGTCCAAGCCTGCCGTTTGCCAGCCCTTAAACGCTTACCCTTCAAACCCTTAAAACCCTGCAAACTGTGCAAAAGCTTCTCGGAACGCCGAACCGCGCAGGCAATAGCGCTGCCCCAAGGCCACATTGCTTAAACATTCCCTTGGCATGCTTCATCCTGCAGCCAACAGGCACCCCAAGGCCACACATCAATGGCTTCGTATGGGCGTCCAAGCCTGCCGTTTGCCAGCCCTTAAACCCTTAAAACGCTTAAAAACCTTCAAAACCCTTAAAACCCTGAAAACCCTTAATGGGCGTCCAAGCCTGCCGTTTGCCAGCCCTTAAATGCTTACCCTTAAAACCCTTAAAACCCTGCAAGCTGTGCAAAAGCTTCTCGAAACGCCGAACCGCGCAGGCAATAGCGCTGCCCCAAGGCCACATCGCTTAAACATTCCCTTGGCATGCTTCGTCCTGCAGCCAACAGGCACCCCAAGGCCACACATCAATGGCTTCTTATGGGCATCCAAGCCTGCCGTTTGCCAGCCCTTAAACCCTTAAAACGCATAAAACGCTTAAACCGCTTAAAAACCCTCAAACCCCTTAAAACCCTTACTGATCAAAAGGGATTATTATGACTGGATGGGAAATATCAAACTGAGTCCGATCCTTCTGCGCAGGACGATCAATTGGCAAGGCTGAAGAGGCTGCAGAGTCCAAGGAACGCTCAAGTTGGAGCCAGCTGAGTCGAAAGGAACCAAGTTTCACGCTAAAATCTGGGACGTGACTGGGTTAGATATAGACCAACCACCTTCAGCCCAACCCCCCAGAAGGGGGGTCGGCGGCACCCGGGCGCTAGCCCATTCTATATGTAATTATATATAATCATTATATATATATAATCATACATATATATATATATATATACATACGGTAACTACATTTAAATATACGATTTTTTTCATACACGAACAGGTATTTCATACTACCTCCGGGGCCTTACGATCCCTGGGATGCTGGGTCAAATCCTAGGAACCGACTCTCCAAACCCTCCAGCATCGGCACGAAAGCTGCCGAGCCTTCTTGATGGAACAACGTTACGCAATCGAACCAAGCAGTTGGGTTAAATATATGGATGATCTTCCATGGATGATATTATCATGGCTATGGATGATATTAAATTTATGTTGAATATGACATGGATGATATTCCCATATAAGCCGGCATCATTGACCAATTAAGGTTGTTTAAACATCTTTAACAGCTTTTTGTAACGTGCATCTTTTGTTAACATGAACTTTGACATGGTACACCGCGTGGTTTGTGAAGAACTGTTCTGATCTATATTAGTCAATGGACATGGTTCCTCTAGCAGGATTCTTTGTCAATGGTTATCGTGGTCATCCATTCAAATAAACAACCACCCTATGGTTGATCTGTCAGAAAACACAGCCATTGTTCCAGTATAAATGTGCCATGAAAAACCTTTTTTACATGGACTATTTCACGTCATCCGCGAGAATGACACCCTTCTTTCAGGTTAAACAAATGGACATATAATCCCTCATAAAAATGCAGTTGTAAAATTATTTCATATCATTTCCTGTATTAAACAATGTCAACAACTAGGCATTTCATGTATCATTCTCCAACTTTTTCAGGGTGAGTGGTGAGATGATCAATCCGCGGACCCAACGCCAGGTGGCGGATCCAGTGGATGTAAGGATCCACGGCCAGTGGTGCGCCACAAACTCTGCTCCTCTGCCATATGCCCTGAACGAAAAAGGATCGATGGGAAGGAGTTATGCCAGTTAATAACTATGGTTTATGGTAGATATATCTATAGTTAATGGGGTTTATAAACCAACTTATAACTGGGGGGGCACCACCTTGTAGATATTGTTTATACATGTGTGTATATATATATATATATATTTATGGGGATTCAACGAAGTATTCGCCCCAATGGTGACACCCCAAGTATTGGATGGATCATGCCGTCCTTACTCCTGGTTGTTGGTGGTTTCTTAGTCTTAGCGCTTATCATCTTTGGGCTGGGCGGCTGAATCTCCACGACTCCATAGAATGCGGTTAGCCCAAACAAACAGACCGTCACGAGCGTGGGTTCCGGTAAGATCAGGGATTGTTTTTTAAATTGCGACCACTCAAATTGTGCATGTTCCTCCATGGAAAATGGCTTGAATCCATGACTTCTCCACTTACAAGGTGCTCCCCCCTGTAGGTTGGTTTATAACCCCCATGAACTAACTACTTGTCTTTTTTGTAGTTTCCAGAAACTCTGCTTCCCTAAGTTGTAAACCAGCTTATATAGCTATCCTGGATGATCATTTCCAAATTCTTCTAGATTAAGTCACCAGAATCAGAACTTCCCCGCCGCAGCCATCCCGGGTGACCCCACGCGCGAAGCTCGCGAAGAAGTCGCGTGTGAGTCCACCAGCGTCCACGCCCTGACAGGGTTGCTGGACGGGGGTGACCACATATCGTTATGGGTCAAAAGCCCTTGGTACCCGGATGGTTTCATAAAATAGCTGGCATAGTTGGATGGTGATTCCCCCAGTCATATGGTAATTTCATGGGTCTTGACACATCCCAATATGGTTTCATAATGGTGAATGGTGGGTGAATAGTGGGTTCAGAGTGGAGTGAATAGTGGCTTATTATGTGTTCCTAATGGTTATTACTGTAATGCGTATAACCAATTAGTTGTTTTTATCAGCAATAATCAACGCGTTTCAATTGCATCCACATATTCAGCAATAATCTACAATGATCAGCAATGATCAGCAAAAATCAGTAAGAATTTGTAATAATCAGCAAACCTTTAACCAGGGTTTCAAATGGGGCCCCTAAACAAGATGAATCCTAATTGTTACTTTTGTGGTGTTTCAATGGATCAAATCCTTGGGCTATACACATGAGGGTTTCCTAAAATAGGGGCACCCCAAATCATCAGAAATTAAACGTTTGAGTATTGAAACATATTGACACATATTGAAACCCATGGTGACTTGGGGTACCACCATTTTGGGAAACCCCCACATGTTGAGTCATGTGCTTCAATCATTTGCTTTTCAGATCTTTGGGATTCTCTTCAGGTCGGCCACTAGATATCCGTCGAAATCCCCAAATGTCTGAAGCGAGACATGAAAAAAATCCGGGAATCTACAGTGGCACAGAGTTTTACTTTATGTTTAAACATGTTCCGAACATGTTCTTTTCATTCACATTCACAATTTTCACTCGTATTGTTAATGTAATGGGGGAGAACCGTATGTGCCAGCACAGTATCATATGAAATCAAATATCACAAAAGTTTATATCATTTCAAGTTAATCAGTCATGTCAAAGCTGATTAAAATCACATCAAATGAGGCGATACATTTACATAAGTGGATTCATTTCAAATGACGGCTTATGTTTGTCGCTATGAATTCACGAAACATCAAATGTCAAATGAGCCAAATGAAATCACATACAATTCAAATAGTACGCCGAAACAATTCTTGTGAGACCAAATCGCTATGTACTAAATAAATCCATGCTCAATCACTTCTTATTATATCATGTCATGTAAACGTTCTTTCCTGTAAAGCATACTTTGAATTTCAAAGTATACGATACTCCATAACCTATCACATTTGAGCCATTATTTGGTTGACAACTGTTTCCCTGCTTTGAGTTAGTTCATAATCAGCAATAAGCCAGGTAATTTCCTAAAACACCAATCAGCCAGTGTATCTTAAATAATCAACTATGGTGTCTAAATGTTTATAGTAATCAAAGCACCATTTCATCCCATTAGAATCCCATTAGACTCACATAATTTCTCATGATAATCTCACTATAATGTGGGTAAAACAATAATAAACCATCCCCCAGTCATCACCATTTTTATAGGGGGTATGTTTACCATTCCCAGTCATGGGTGGTTTATGACATTTTTTTACCCACATTAATCCAGATAAATCCGTAGAAATCCATAATTTATATGGATTATTCTTGTCTTATCTACATTAACTTGTGGTTTCTATGATAATCTCACTATAATCCCTACATAAATTCTCCATACTCTCGAAGCTCGTCATGGCTTCCGGACCTTCTCTCCCGTGTAGATCACTTGGAGGCGACTGAGCATGTGGCGCCGTTCCATGTCCTGGGCCATGGCATGGCGATATTTACCGGTATTCTAGTGGAAAACATGGTGATACAATGGGGATACATGGGGATACAATCAATCAATATACAGTATATATAATATGTATATATATATATATACGGTAGTAAACTCAATGCCATGGTGGAAAAGTCGTTGTGAAATTGGGAGATAATGAATATATTAATGGGAAAACATGGTGATGCAATGGGGATAGAATGGGATTATAATGGATTATATATAGTGGAAAACATGGTGATACAATGGGGATACATGGGGATACAATCAATCAATATACAGTATATAAAGTGTATATATATATATACGGTCTACGGTAGTAAACTCAATGCCATGGTGGAAAATTCGTTGTGAAATTGGGAGATAATAAATATATTAATGGGAAAACATGGTGATGCAATGGGGATAGAACGGGATTATATTTGATTATAAATAGTGGAAAACATGGTGATACAATGGGGATACATGGGGATACAATCAATCAATATACAGTATATATAATATGTATATATATATATACGGTAGTAAACTCAATGCCATGGTGAAAAAATCGTTGTGAAATTGGGAGATAATGAATATATTAATGGGAAAACATGGTGATGCAATGGGGATAGAATGGGATTATAATGGATTATAAATAGTGGAAAACATGGTGATACAATGGGGATACATGGGGATACAATCAATCAATATACAGTATGTATATATTATATATATACGGTAGTAAACTCAATGCCATGGTGGAAAAGTCGTTGTGAAATTGGGAGATAATGAATATATTAATGGGAAAACATGGTGATGCAATGGGGATAGAATGGGATTATAATGGATTATATGTAGTGGAAAACATGGTGATACAATGGGGATACATGGGGATACAATCAATCAATATACAGTATGTATATACATATATACGGTAGTAAACTCAATGCCATGGTGGAAAATTCGTTGTGAAATTGGGAGATACTAAATATATTAATGGGTAACCATGGTGATGCAATGGGGATAGAACGGGATTATATTTGATTATAAATAGTGGAAAACATGGTGATACAATGGGGATACATGGGGATACAATCAATCAATATACAGTATATATAATATGTATATATATATATACGGTAGTAAACTCAATGCCATGGTGAAAAAATCGTTGTGAAATTGGGAGAGAATACATATATTAATGGGTAACCATGGTGATGCAATGGGGATAGAATGGGATTATAGTGGATTATAAATAGTGGAAAACATGGTGATACAATGGGGATACATGGGGATACAATCAATCAATATACAGTATATATAATATGTATATATATATATACATATATACGGTAGTAAACTCAATGCCATGGTGGAAAATTCGTTGTGAAATTGGGAGAGAATACATATATTAATGGGAAAACATGGTGATACAATGGGGATATCATATAGTTTTCTCTCAATGCCATAGTCACCATCCCCAAGTTTGAGGTGAAAGTGGGGAGACCAATGGGGATACCCCTGTGATGGTTTCAACCTTTAAACTGAACTAACAGCTTGCGACATGGAAACCAACATTTTTCAGAGGTAAATCATCGAGAATCATCTATATCATTGTTACAGAGTCCATTGCATGTGAATTGCCAGAGAGTATACCAGTGTTCCGGATTGTAAGCTTGAAACCCAAAAGGTTAGGACTCTGCAAGACTTCCCAAACCAAAAACCTCAACGTGGGTGTCACTTGTCACCCGCCATCTGGTTCCAATAGAAACAAAGTGATCCACATGGCCACTGAACCTTATAGCTGCTAGAGAATATGGATCACCATATCTCCTAAACGCTCCTTACATTCACCAGTGAACAGCCTATTTACACATGAGTTACCGATTAGAAATTATTATATATTTTCAACTTACAGTATTATATACTACCAGAGGCTATCCAGTGGTGAAAACTCGCGTCACTCCGAAGTAAAATTCTCAGTGCATTCCCGAGGAGCTAGAACCAAATCCATGACGTCCTGCAAGAATCTCGCTCCTCAGGAATATGGCCATCGTGAGTGGGACATGACTATATTGCAACCAATATTTCATCATACACCTGAAAGGATGGAACAGTATAAGTTACCACTATCATATACTACAGTTATGGCCATTTATCAGTTATAAGTACTTATAACTCCATTAATAGAATGTATAATCCCATTTATAACCAGTTATAACTGGTAAATGGCCATAACTGAAGTAACACGCAAAACGATAGAACAGTGTACTTTATCACTATTTCAATAGGATTTCGCTTTTCTATCACGCGGGTCTGATGTTCAATGCGGGGGACAAACACCCGGTTGTTGTGTTTCAGCTTGTGTTTTTGCAAACATCAGGGGAAAATTGATGTTGTCACAAAATGTCACAAATCTATCCGCACTGTTTTCATCTTCAAAAAATCAAGTGATCAAAAGTTGTCACCTACGCATGAGTGATCACATTGGTGGTGCCACCTTGGAGCTCCTTGCCCTCATTGCGTATAACGTCATTGGCGATCACAATGTCTTCTGGAACTTCCAAAGGAGGAAATCACTCCTTGATGTAACTAGTTGTATAATGATGTATATACACCTTCCTTGATCGTCTGAAAACATAATTGTGAGCTAGAGCAGAGTCAACCATGCATATATACAATACAATCGTCATGCACACAATCATGCATGCATAGGAAAAACATATGCGATACATATGCGTTTGGTACCAAAAAATATGTTGAGAATTCATTATTAGTAATTACTAGTAACACGAGTAAATGAATCATTTGATGACCATTCTGACAAGGGCATACCCGATTTTCAAGACACACCGAAACGATGAAACGGCACGGGAGGTTGGTGGTTTATACATGTTTATACCTTGACCCTCAAAGACCTCTAAAATGGTGCAAGGGTGTTTTCCTGAAGGTCTAGGTCTAGGTCTAAAAATCGACTTGGCACATCACAACTTGGGTATGGGTGACCCCTGCAAAGTGAGGGCCCTCAGTTCTGTGTGTTCCTGGAAAAAAAAACATCATACAACATCTATAGCAATATGAATATATTCCCTAAAAGCTTTGTTGTAATTGACCCAACCTCAATTCACACTCTCCAGTAAACTAAGATAGATATGGTGTCCATCCACCATGAATGTAGATCATTCCAAAATAATTTCCATGGTTTTCTTGTTGTTTTCTTGGTGGGAAACCCATCAAAAAGGGGGCTCCACATTGTGAACAACATAGTTTCATCATAAAATCATGCTAGCTCCATGTTTTCATTAAAAATCATGTGAAATCCCATTTGTGCCTGTTTAATTTCCACATGTTTTTGTTGTTTTATTGGTGCAATCGTCGATCCCCCGTGCCGCCGCGTGGCGCAGGATTGTCATCTTCGTGGTGTGCGACTTCCGTCGCAGCGGCAGCGAGGTCAGCAGCAGATGCATCCGCTGCCGCGTGTCGTGCTGGCGGAACCTGCCACTTCTCGAGGGATTTCGAATGTGAAGGGAGAAACTGGCGTTATGGAGGTTTCCTGAGTTGTGGGGGTACCCCCAAATCATGGGGCTTTAATAGGATTTTCCATTTTATATAAAACATCTATTTTTTGGGTACCACCATTTATGGAGAACACCCTTTTGGCTGGGGAAACCATAATTAGGACTGAACAAAATAGATACAACAAAAAGTGTTTGGGGGTTGAAAGGCTGGATGTTTATACATGTGTATGTATACTATAAATTGTGAATGGACAGTTGGTTTGCAATATACTAATATATTATATATATATATATATATAGATAGTGGATTTGCTCACATGGCAGGAAAGTGGCTTAGGACTGGGTTTGGACATGTTTCTAGCAAAACTTGAGGCATTGCCAGCAACCACAGTAGGTTCGCCAAGTTCATACCTGCTTGATCCTGGTGTTCACGTACATATATATATATATATATATACACATACATATATAGTATATATATATGTATATATATACATACATACATACGTACATATATATATATATATATTCATACACATATAAACTATATATGTATATAACATATATATCTACATCATGTAATATATATATATATGAACAAGGAATGAATATTCATACCTGCTTGATGCTGGTTGATCCTGGTGGCAAAGCGCTTGGTCCAGATTTGGTGATTCAAAGGGATAGGGCCACTGATGCCATCCCCCTGACATTAAACTGGGCCCTAGGACAGCAACATGTTTCTATAGATCCGGTCCTGTACCAAGTCAGGATTCCCAAGGATCTTGGATGTATTTTTCAGATTACAATCGGGGGATTGCAATCCAAGCGTCACAATTGAGGCGAAATTTAGCAAAGAAATGATCTGGTGACCCACCAGGAACCCACGATGTTTTCTCTTCCGGTAGCGCTTCACCATCCTTTGAGATTGAAATACAAACAAATCCTACAGGGTGATGCCCCAAGTTATGTGTGTTGGTTTATAAGCCCCTTGAACTACCGTTATATTCCCCATAAACATCCATCGACCCTATATAGTCATCCCCTGTAATTCATGGCAACCTATAATTATTCATTCCCTCATCAACCCTAGTGAAATTGGACTTCACGGGACTTCACATCAAAATTCTATCCCCATCAACTCTAGTTCACTAAGATCTTCACCAGCGAACTTCACATGGAAAAAAAAACGATCCCGGTCTCGACCAGGATGCAAGAGTTGAATCTTCTGAAGTCCGCTGGACAAACTCTCCAACTCCCCCGTGCTGTCTTCCTTGGGGGCTTTTTTTCAGGCGACCTCCAACAAAAAATCGGATGGTCAAAACACATGGTGAATCTTAGATACCTGCTGGAAAAATCCCAAACAAACAAACACACACACATATATATATATATACATATATATGACATATATATATATAAGAATATATGATTATATATATATATATAATTTCCGACTGGTGAATGTACATTTTACCATTGATAGCAACAGAGTAAAGTAGTAAGGTATCTAACAAAGGTTGGCCCAGATAAGAACACATAAATAAACATGATCCAAATCATCCAAAAATCTGTTTGGGACCTTGGGAGACTGTTTTTGGCCCGTACCCTGCTGAAAGAACAATATTTGATACCCCAGAATCACTTTACTGCTTGAGAATGTGTGGTTTGAAAAACAAGACTTCCGAACCACGCATTTGAAGATGGAACACTAATAAAACGATATAAAACACCCATCAGGTCCCAAACAGGAAGCTGTATCACATCCAAATTTCGGTACAGTAGGTTCTACCCACATCTTGTTGATTCACGTTCAATCCCCATCATTTGCTGATTACAGTAAATCCTACCAATGTAGTTGGACAAACCATCATCATTTTTGATGGGGAACAATCATCACATGTGTATATGTCTATGGGACAACTCCGCACTTTCGAAAAGCAAACTCACCATGTTCGTTAGTTATTAGTTCACCCCAGCTCGAACAACACTCAGCACCTTCCTTTTCGGAACACACAGAACAATAGGTCAACACTACATATCAAACACTACAGGTCAAAACACGAGTATCCTTCTGTTACGAACATAGCTGCTACACCTTCATCGTCATCCCGAATAGGAAATCGGACCGGTTCCTTCGACCCAAGCGATAGGATTTAAATCTGTGGTTCCCTTTTTCATCTTAAGGATTTCCTCTGTTTTTTGATCAGTATTGTTTTTAAACTTCCATCCAAATAAATTTCGCAGTAGTATATCTCTCGACATATATATATATATACATATGTACAGATATATATATATAAATATAAATTTGTAGCTCCCCTTGCAATACCACTGTTATCAGTTTCGTTCGCAAAATGAGATAAAATGAGTCTACTAAAATTTATTAACATCTACTAACAAAAAATAAGATACTGGCTAAACCATCCATTCTGGGGATTGCTTGGTCAAACTCTCATTGCTTCACAGTTTCTATGTGCCAATCTTAGACACCCTGCAACAAACTATGTGTTCAGCTGGTTAGTCAATATACCCTTTCTGGCTAAAGATTAAGGTGTACTAAACTAAACCATCCAGCTATTGGGGTAGCCCCCATGACTTAGGAACCCCCAATATGTCATATCATGATATCCCATTGTTTCAAAAACATAATTAACATGATGTAGATATCAATAGATAATTATCCCGTTCCATTTTATACATACCCATGATATACGTATTAGATAGGTATAATTGGTATAATACTAAGCATTACACATATCAAAATATATTATAATCATTATAAACAATTACTAACCATCACTAACCATTATTAACTATTATTAGCCACTATTAACCACTATGAGCCGTTACTAACCATTATCATTACAATCCAATAAGGCATATCCCACTATTAATGGACATGTTCAGTAATGGTTAGTAATACTTTTCATTACGACCCCATATCAGTTTTTCCAAACAGTGAATCTAATGATTTCCCATGATAGACAGCTATCCGATTGTAACATATTCTGGAGTACAGTAGATACCCTCTGGTAATTTAACGTAGCTATTGAAAATTGCCATTTATAGTGAGTTTTCCCATTAAAAATGGTGATCTTCAATAGCTATGTTAGTTTACCAGAGGGTAAGTATAGTAATAATCATTATAATCATTACATATCATTACCCATTAATAACCATCAATATATCATTTACTAAACCATATCTAATATGTTAAAACATATGGACATTGTTTTTAATCATTAAATGATATAGTTAATTTACCAGAGGGCAACTAGTATTAATATGAACCATTACAATAACCACTATGAACCATTAATACTAACCATTAATCATTACAATCCCAATACCATGTCATTAACCATTACAATAACCATTATTAACTATTATTCACTATTAACCACCATACTACAGTAACCACTACTACTGGATATCCTAGGGATTCTTGATGATTCTTGGCAAAAACTATAACCATTACTAACCATTAACCATTACAATCCCCATACATCCCAAGACCATATCGGGGTTTCCATAAATGGAGCTATCCCAATAGCTGGATGGTTTACAATGGACAATCCATCTATAAATGGATGAGTTGGGGCTACCCCCATGGATTGGAAATCTCCATATATTACCAGATATTACCAGTACATACCAGACCATTACTAACCATTAACCCTTACAATCCCAATACAATCCCAAGACCATATCATCTTCCCCATCGCTTCTCAAAAACCACCAGGGATCTTTCAAGGCCTTCCGCAAACGGCATCGCACGCCCTGCCAGAAGTCCATCTCCTGTAGAGCGTCTTTGTGAAACACCAAGAAATATTAGGATATTTTAGTGGATGTTTAATGGATTTGCTAGTTTTTCATGGCATTTTGAGGATCTTAAATGGATCTGTTAATTGTGTTCCATGAATTTAAATGGTTTTGAGCAGATGTTTATTGGATTTAAATGGATCTAAATGGGTTTGAACGGATTAGAATGGATTTCAATCATGTCGTTTATTGACTTGAATGGACGCTAGCAACACAACAATTTGGAGACCTTTACCACAAAACATGGGACTGGTGGATTTTTGCTAGATCTAATCACCACCATGAAGATCTTCATTCTAGCAACAAAGAAATACAGCAAGGAAATGCCAGGAGATTGACGACTCTCAGAAACCATGGGAGCGTTGAAGTCCATGGGAGTTTGATGACATCTCTTCAGATTGGGTCCCTTGCTGGGGGGATTTTGATATCATGGGAATTGGATTGTCTGGGAGCATGTTGAATCGGAGAGTAACACATGGCATCATGTGAATCACACCGAGCATGCGATCATTTATGTTTTTTTGGATGTTTTCCCAAAACATCAGCATTTTTTTCGAAAAATGAACGATGCATCGCCAAGGTGCATAAGTCTCAATCTCGAAGGCTGACAAGACATTCAAGAATAAGGTCATGGTGTTGAATTCTTCTCCCTGAAGACCACTCCGGATGATGGTAGAGGTGGGATTGAATCAAAAAAAATGTATATACTACAGTGGAAGGGTTGACAAAACATCATACATGGGTTGTTTTTTGGAAGGTAGCTTTTGCATTTGACCTCCAAAAAAGGGTTGAACATGGTTGAGTGGATGATCAAGAAACGAAGAAAATATCACATAACATATGGTCTCAGGAAGTACTCATGATGCGAGCAGTTTTGACAATTCTTGATCAGCAACCGTATTTGATAGATTGTTCCAATTCATCGAAAAGTTACCAAGGATATCCAAGGATCAAACCACTTGCACAAGGCAAATACCATTGAAACACATTGCAAATACCATCCTCTTCCAGCGACAAAAACAGCAGGCACCTGCACAAACCAAAGAAATGGCCGCCTGATTGGTTTGAAAATAGACTACCCCCCTACTGAAAATCTTCATTTTCCCATATGCCTATGGATCAATACCTATTAATACCTTTTTTAGGGGATGAACATCCATTTACCAGCTATTTTGATGTTCACCAGGGGTACAAGGTTTTGACACACTGCCATATGTTCCACATTGTTTATGGTCAATTAGAAGGTATTCCCCATTTTCAGACCCAAGTGGTTGATTACCATCCGCCTGGCAGTCGACCATCCACCCGTTGGGATTGAACATGAATTCAACTTATCATCAGAAACCAATCAACCAGCCATCATTTATCAACTTATATAATAATATATATATATATATGGCAAATGCCTGGGTTTTGCCCGGACCCGCAATGACGACGGGCGACGCATCATCATCATCATCATCATCATCAACATCATCATCATAACAATCATCATCATCATCATCATCATCATCATCATCGACATCAACATCATGATCATCAACATCATCATCATCATCATCATAACCATCATCATCATCATCATCATCATCGACATCAACATCATGATCATCAACATAATCATCATCATCATCATCATCATCGACATCAACATCATGATCATCAACATAATCATCATCATCAACATCATCAAACCCGTACTGACGATGTTCAATGAATGTAGAAGTTTAACGGGGGTGGGTTAAACCCTCATCGAAGATCTTCAATGAATGTAGAAGTTCAACGGGGGTGGGAGAATTAAACCCTTATTGAAGATCTTCAATGAATGTAGAAGTTTAACGGGGGTGGGTTAAACCCTCATCGAAGATCTTCAATGAATGTAGAAGTTCAACGGGGGTGGGAGAATTAAACCCTTATTGAAGATCTTCAATGAATGTAGAAGTTTAACGGGGGTGGGTTAAACCCTCATCGAAGATCTTCAATGAATGTAGAAGTTCAACGGGGGTGGGAGAATTAAACCCTTATTGGAGATCTTCAATGAATGTAGAAGTTTAACGGGGGTGGGAGAATTAAACCCTTATTGGAGATTTTCAATGAATGTAGAAGTTTAACGGGGGTGGGAGTTTAATATTCCCTAATATCTTTGTTGATCTTCCCAATTGAATATAAACTTTAACGGGGGTGGGAGTTTAATATTCCCTAATCCCGTTTTTGTTTTTCCCATAGGAATTTCGGGTGGTTTGACATTTTTTTATATAGTCCCTAGTACCTTTGTTGTTTTCCCCATAGGGGTTTAAGGTTTAACGGGGGTGGGAGTTTAATATTCCCTAATATCTTTGTTGATCTTCCTAATTGAATGTTAAGTTTCACGATTTGAGAGTTTAAAAAATCCTAGTACCTTTGTTGTTTTTCCCATAGGAATTTCAAATGTTATGCCGTTTTTGTTTTTCCCATAGGAATTTCGGGTGTTTTGACCTTGTTTGTTTAATAGTCCCTAGTACCTTTGTTATTTTTCCCATAGGAATTACGGTAAGTTGCAACATCATTTGTTTGTGAATGGGAAACCTCTACGCTGCAACGCCTGGGCAAAACCCAGGCGTTGCGCGTATATATATATATATAATTTATATAATTATATATATATATTATAATTGCATATATAATTATATATATAATTGTATATCTGGTTACACATATAAAATTAGATAATATGATATAATATCTATATACATATATAATATCATATAATCACATTTATCCGGTTATTTAGTGGTTTATGTATATATAATATAGATTATACAAGTATAGACAGAGCTTAAACAGCGCCTCTGGAGCCTCGGGAGGCAGCTTGTCCAGCATCTCTTCCATGGTGAATTGGCCACTTTCCTGGGGCTGGATGCGGAAAAAAAACATGGTTTAACATCTTTGAACCCATCTCAGAAGTATAGAAGAGTGAATTTCAAGGAACAACCATACTTGAACTTAAATAATATGTGTATATATGTGTGTTTTTGTTGTTCATGTTCACTTTAAAAATCAGTGTTTAGATCCTGAACAAACATATGGCTATGGGCTATGGGTCACTTCAGCCTGGGAGCCCCTGCTGGAGGTTCATGTCACCAAACATGGTGGTTCCACCATAATGGGGGTTCAATCGGCAAATACATTATTAAACCCCCAAAACTGATTTAGAACATAGAAGTTTTTCAGTATGTTACAGTACTAAACCATACTAAAGCTCTTGGGGGTTCAGGTGAGTCCAAACCCATCTGAGGCACAAGGTTTCCCAGGAAAAGGTCATGGAGATCTTCCAAAATCAAGAGCTCTCCGTCCTGCAGACCCGCGTCCTGTGGCACGCAACCGTCTACAAAGTGGACTGCTGCACTGCTTGGGTGCACCCCAATAAGTGAGTAACGTCCATAAATAATTGTAGTACTCTCTGGTAATTTCACATAGCTGTGGAAAATGGATGAACATGGCCCATTTATAGTTGATTTCCCTTTTAAAGATGGTGATTTTCTATAGCTATGTTAAATTACCAGGGGGTAATTTGTATATCCAATCGCCTTCACTTTTGTTCCAGTCCAGTCGAGGTCTTGGCTTGAAAAAAAGGGTGACACATGTTTTCCTCAGGGCTTCTCACTTCAAAGCGTTATTTTTTGCAAAAAACTTGTTTTAAGTTTCAAGCCGACCAACCATTTGCACAATTTAACACTTCAAGGTGACATTCGTGACATCCAAAGTACGAACCAGGACCAATCTTAGATACTCAGAAAAAACAAACTAGTTGGGTTTGGTTGGGAAAAAATGTGGTAAACCCAATGCCATAAAGCATCCCATTAACCAACCATTTGACCATTTTTTTGAACAAAATGTTACATCATCCCAAACAGGGGTAGCACTCAGCAAATCCAACCACCATTACACCCCTTCAAGTCTCTGCCTGCAAGGTGTCCGTCGCATCGTTGGGTCTCAAGACTCTGGACGCTGGGAAACCAAAACGCAGGCGCTGGTGGTGACAGGGCACACCCGTCAACTGCCGAACCTCTGCTTGGAACGCCTTGCTTCGCTGTCAACGGAGCGTGGGGTACCCTCCGGTGACGGGAAATCCATGGCCATCCCCCCTGATGGTTCATGTTCCGATTACACTTACAGTTGGCTGCACTCCTAATTTTGTTGTTTACTGTAAGTCATCCTAATTTCAAATGATCTGTGCTTACACACAAACACATATGATTCGATGGAATAAATCAACAACTTGACTCAAAGAAATCTGTTCAATACTGGGTGTTCTGCCCCGTTTTTGCTGGTATTCAAACTTCCAGTTGAACCACCTCCGCCATTTGGGTAGCACAAGCCCTTGAAACATATTAAATATCTAATATTAGTCAAGCAAATTTCAAATTATACATTAAAAAAATCGACGCCAGAAAACAAATATTATATGGAGTCGACGGAGGAGCATTCCTAGATTGTCAGCCCTGCAGCTCTCAGTTGACCAGAGGATACATCCCCAACCCTTACTGCGTGTGAACTTCCACCTCTTTTTCGGTAAGACATGGTAATATCACCATTTCGCTGCTCACAACATTGCTTGGTCAAAATCAACCATGGCCGCTGCCTAAAATCCCCCCTATTTCCATCCACTTTTCCAAGAAATCGCCACGTGTTGCATGCTGGTTCCGACTGGTGGAAATGAACATATGGTGCCATATTTTGGGGTAATGCACATCCACTTCCTTACCCTCCAGTATCAAACATGGCTTGCTGGAGAATCCACCGGTTACGTCGATGCTTTGCAGCGATTTCCCATTGGATCCAATTAAAGAGAAAACATGCCTCTCGCGCGGGGAAATCCCTTAGTCAGGTTTTAATGGGAACATATCAATAGGGGATTTCCCAGCTATAACACCAGAGGGTATCAAAGCTGAATGACCCGCCGAATCCGAGAGTGTTCTGCTCAGCACTAAGGCACCGTGACACGTGTAACGCTGGGCACTTTCATCTCCTGAAACAAGATAAACATCCTTAATTTATGTTCGGGATTTAACCACCAAATATATGGTGATATAATGGGAAAAACATGGGATATGATATAATGGGATATTCTCATGTGTATCTACTCACCAACCGGAAAGGTTTGTCAATTTGAGGGTAGTTACCCCTACGAAACATCATTCAAGTGATGTTGCAATTTGAGCTCGTTTAGATTTATCCAAATAGGTGCATCTGGGGATTTTAATAGGTACGAGTACATGAGATAAGATGATATGCCAATATAACTAAATATGTAACACACATATCCGCACAAATTTGAATGAACAGGTCCAACATTAATCGATCAAATTATCAATGCAATGGCTCAGGTTGGGGATGATTCTTACACTTCATTCCTAGAACGTTCTTGGATGCAAAATCATTGAGCCATATTGAGCCACTCTCAGAAAAAAAGTCGTGTGGTTAATATCATGGATGATGTTAGTAATATCATCAGTAACGTTCTCATCATTTCTGGATGATATCTGGTAAAGCTTTGGCCCAACACATCTGGGGTAGCAGCTATTTCACTTCTGGACGAATCAGCTGGGGCATTGTGACCATCCCATTTCTCGGGATCTATGGTTAAACTATCACAACTCACCTGAAATGAGAGGAATTGTCATAAATCTTGGATTAAGCATCATAACATTCCCTTGGGAATTCACCTAAAGGGTTGGAGTGTCTGATTCTATGGGTATAACTAATAACTATCATAACTATTCATAACTATTCATAACTATCATAACTCACTATCAGAACCATCATGAATCAATGGCTGGTTTCAGACTTTTCTCTTTTCGCATCGCCTTGAACAAATTCCCGAGTCGCCGAGGTGCCAAAGAGCCACCGAGAGGAATCCGCAGCCGCAACCGCAGCACAGCGCTGGCGCTGGCCGGCGCTGGGGCTGCAGTCACCGCTGGTGCCGCAGGGGCACCGCGTAGTGCTGCCTGCGCTGCGCCGCGTAGTGGTGGGATTGGGTTGATGTTCCCAAACATCACCGGCTAATTGGGCGGATGAGCCAGAGTATATATAATCCTTTTTTCTATCCCCATCCTGAAACACTATTCTGGCATAGTTTCTCGCATATCATCTGGATGTATATAATGTATACATGGCATCTTTACTCTGTCTGACGTTCTTTCTGGCACATACTTTGACATTCTATCTGACATTCTATCTGGCAACTATTCTGACATACTTTCTGGCATAAATATACTCTGACATTCTTTCTGGCATTCTATCTGGCATCTATGCTGACATCTATTCTGGCATTTTTTCTGGCATTCTTTTTGGCATATTTTCTGACATTCTCTCTGACATTTTTTCTGGCATTCTATCTGACATTCTCTCTGGCTTCTGGCTGAGGTCCGGCAGTGCCCACTAAGATCTTGCGCTCACGGTTGAGGTCCATCAATGCCCACTTGAGATCTGGAGTCTGCGGTTGAGGTTCGGCAGTGCCCTATGATCTCTTGAGCTCGCGGTTGAGGACGAGGAGGAGAGGAGAAGAGGCGGGAAAGTCTGTGATAAAATCTAGAGACCCTGACCTGGCCCGTGGGGAAAACAATAAGATTCTAGGTATTGATTACTGTATCAACATATATCAGCATCCTCGGAATCATGTCAATGTCATCACCACTTCATCACAATATATGTATGTGTATATATATATATATATGTAACAGTATATATATATACATAATATTACATATATTCATCATGATACCTCCTGATCACACACAAAAAAGGTCGAATATCACAGCTGAAATGCAACAGAAATCTGCCTGATGATGGGCTTCGGCTTGAATCTCACGTAGCAAGTTCTGGTCGAACTTGGATTTGGAGGCTACGGTGGAGGCCTCTTCAGTGGGACAGTCCAGGAGGTGGGAAGCACTGACCCTGTTTCTTTGTTAACTATCTGTACATATATTTATTATAATGGATTATAATATATATATATATATCTATCTGTCTATCTATCTATCTATCGATCTATCTATCCATCTATCCATCCACATATATATATATTATATTGAATTATTAAGATGTATTTATTTACTCGTAAAAACCTCACAAGTATTTTACAGCTGGATCTGCATCGCCAGGATCTCTGGTCCCGCCTCACCATAGCCGTTGGCGGCAGCACTGGCCTCTACCGTTGGCGACACGAGATCTACAGTCTCTTTAGGCAATAACCTAATTGTGATACATAATGCCATGTGTATATAAAGTAAATAATGATTAACATAACAATAAATATATATATGTATGATTTGAGATTCAGTATATAATAAGATATATGATTTAGATGGTATACTCACAGTTGACATTGGTATCGTAGGATTGTGACCTTTTGACTTGCTTTTCTTGTTAACTGTTGGAGGACGGGCGAGTTCCGAGACGTATGTCCATGAAATCCAACATTAGCAGTAGCATATATTAGCATAAAACATTGGGCTGGTTGAAGAAACCTTCCTAGACATTGTCGTGTGTTTGACATATCGAGAAGAGGCCCGAAGTTGTTCAAACACCAGAAGTTGTGCAGATTCATCTGATCTTCACCATCCTTGATCTTCATCATCTGATCCCCGGATGCTAAGTCTAGTATCCCCCGTGGCAGGTTCCAACCTTGTAAGCTTGGCATGGGTCAGCAGTCGCACCCCATGGAGAACATATGCTCGTTACTTGGGAAATTCCTGTTTAGTAGGGATGGCAACTGCAACATAACCTCCTGTAATCAAACATGGCAATGGAAAATATACTACAAATTATCAAGGTTTTAATATATCTATATATACATACAAATCATCTATGAATGGGCTATTTTCTGAAACCAAAACGGTTGGGTCATATCCGCCCAGTGCATGTAAGATACCCGCCCAACATCCTACAGAGCTAGGTCGACTTTGGGTTTCAAGGATGTTCAAGGCATAGTAACCTTCAAGAATGCAGAACAGGTTCAATCTACCACTAAATCTCAGAATTGGATAGAATTGGATTCTACAAATTTCATCTACCCTCCGGCAATCAAACATGACTAGCTGAAAAAAAAAAACATTTACACATTTACATACAGTTATGGCCATTTATCAGTTCTAAGTACTTATAACCTCATTTATAGAATGTATAATCCCATTTAGAACCAGTTATAACTGGTAAATGGCCATAACTGTAGAGATGCATTTCCCATTTGATAAATCGCCTTTAGGTTCTGGGATTTGCCAGCCATGTTTGATTCCTGGAGGGTAAACGTGGTAAACATTCTGGTTTCTTCTACCAGAAAAAAAGAAAAACAACAACAACAGTTGGTAGCCCTAAATCAACTGGTGGGTATGACTGAAAATGGCGTATACCCTCAAATGAACGTTTGAATTATGACAAGAATGGTTCATCACTGAAGTTTGTCGTGGTCTGTTTTCAGGCAAACGCTTAACCCATAGTCTTTTTGGATCGTTCAGCAAGTTATAACTGGAGGACTTGATCAGCAAACTGGTAAATGGAGTTTAAGAAATTAATCATAAACCATCAAAAACCATCATAAACCATCCCTAAGTTGACCATCAACAAAATGGCCTTTGTTGGTGGTTGACCTACCCCCCCTCTGAAAAAATATGACTTCGTCAGTTGGGATGATTCTCCCCAATATATATGGAACAATAAGAAATAGATGTTCCAAACCACCAACCAGTGGCTATTTCAATGGGATTATACATTCCATAAATGGGATTATAAGTATCTATAACTGGTCTTTCGGGCCATAACGATAATCCATGATCATACAATCAACAACTTGGTTGATCCCATCACGCTGGTCCCAAAAAAGTCCGCGGCACCGTGACGGCCGTCAGCTGCCCCTGCAAGGCCAGGTGAACTTGCAGCAGCCGTGCTGCGTGGGGCTCCACCAGGAAGAAGCTCTCGGCGTCCTGGCGGTTTCAACGTTAATAGTAAAACAATCTCATGTTTACCATCCCCAGTCATGACCATTTTTATAGGTTGTATGTTTACCATTCCCAGTCATGGGTGGTTTACCAATGGCATTGTTTTGCCCACATTATTTCATTACCATAGAAACCATAGGAACCATAGAATTCAGCTGGTTACTAGGTGAAGTCGATGGTTGACTGTAAGGAAAGAACCATCGCTTCCCATGGGGGGTATATATTGACGAACGTTATTTTATATGAGTTAGCCCATCCATCCATTTTCTGCTTTGATCATTGATGTTTTTGATCCATCCCCAGGTACGGGCATTTTACCGGTTGCCTTTAAAATATGAGCAAGACTTCTGACAATATCATTCCCCTAGGATGAAATGCTCCCCATATGGCCTCCAAACATGAAAATATCCAATGCTAAATCAAGGTTTCTGGGGCCCCGGTGAGTGATAAATATTACAGTAGGGGGATTGGGCATAATATGAATAACAAACAGAAATGAATGGTTTATGTGTTCAGTCATGTTCAATGCTATTCATGACAACTTGGATGTGCCAGCCTCCTCAGTGGATAGTAGCCATATGTTTTCACCTAGCTGGATTAGTTGGATGTACAACAGTCCTGGCATGCAGGTGGCAGGAGGTTGATCAGTCACCTTTGTCACCCCTGGTTTGAACCCAGTCATATGTGTTTTCCTGTATGCAGTTATTTGTACTCTGCAATGACTAAGGATTTTTTCCATATACCCCAATGGGGTATAGTGGAACATCTTTACGGGGCGGGCAACCCTGAACCACAGAAATAGTTGCAGGCCAAAGTTCATACCCCAAAAACAATGTCGCAGAATCAAGACCGTTGCGAGTTGTGGGGAATTGGGGGCATGGGGGTATGAACTCTTGGGGTATATGCAAAATTCCTTAATGTCATATATATATATATATTTATGCATACGTATGTACATATATGTTTCTTATAACATTGTGAACAAATTGGTAGTATGTAGCAACAAGAATCTGTAGTTGATGATCACAATCTGATCTTGTATGGAATAGCACCTGAAGTACTAATTAGACTCTACTTCCAATTCCACTGAAAACACTGGATACCCATATCCAGCTGATGAATTTGGGAATCATCATCCCACGTGGTTCAACGTTCCGAACATCAACCTATGGCTTTGAAAATCGGGTTTGTAGCTAAGATCCATAGCTTTTAAAACTGCATCTTCACTATAAACACAACCATAACTTTAGGGTATGCCCCATTTTCAGACACATCCAGCCAGCATATGGGGGCTTCTAGGTCCCATTCATTCCCATCACAGATTCCTTGGTGGTGAAAAATCCCTAACTCTGATTCGTTGAATCCAGGTGGTCAATCATTGGATTCCCTACAGTTATGGCCATTTACCAGTTATAACTGTGGTTATAAATGGGATTATACATTCTATAAATGGAGTTATAAGTACTTATAACTGATAAATGGCCATAACTGTAATCCTTGGTGATTAATTTTATCACCATGACATTCCCATCTCCTGAAACAAACACTACTTTTCAGCTGCGTGGGACCCTACCAAAGGTCCTCTGTGAAACCTGCTAAGCGCAGAACCTGAGACTCTTCAGAGGCGACGTGGCACCGAAGAAGGATCCATTTTGACCACCAAGAGCTACAACTCCATGGGAAGAATGGGAATGATTCGGCTTAACTGATATAGATACTGGATACTCAACAAATGGGAAGAATGGGAATAACTGATATAGATATTCAACAATGGGAATAATGGGATTGAATGGGAAAAATCGACCACTATGCACTCAACCATGGAATATGGGAATATCATGGCTAGGCGGCTGAAAAATCATCACCATATCGGTCCATTCCAGGATCGAACCAGTCGTGGTTGATGAAAAGATCGTCCATGATCATTCTTATGGTGATGTCTGAAAAGAGCAATGGAAAATCACGAACTATAGGAAATTATGAATAGCATATGTATTGACGGGCTAAATGTAGCAGCTATATGTACCTATAGTTTGAATAGCTACATATAGCTGGGCCATGGCTTTTATAGCTATGTCCCTATCTTAGGATCCAGGTCATGGCGACAAACATTGAGGGATGCTTCAAGGTTGCGAATGTGTTGATGTATTTACATCATATATGCACATATTATATGTACATGCTGGTATCTATATATATACATACAATGATATACATACATTCTAGTAATGTCTTAGCATTCAATTTCCATCTGTTTCCTTGTCGAACCGAACCCACATGACACGAATTCTTGTAGGTGAAATGCCCCACCATGAAAACAAATAGGGGGTCGAACATCAGCTCCAAGAAAAAAACAATCACATGCATCTATGGACTACATAAAACATGACTCTACACATACATGTAAACATGTATATATATATACACATGTATATAATTATATATATATATATATGTCTCCACATTTATAGATTTATAGATACCAATATGTACATACATATATGACTTATAGAAGATCAGTACACACTATAGAATATGTATATCATATATGTACATGACTTAGAGTTGATATATATATATAATTATGTATATATTATTACCAAATATAACATATATATATATATATACACGTCAGTATATGGGGTTGTGTGAAGATAGCACTACCCCATTAATGCCTATTCTACTGGGAACATGGCGATAAACCATTGGATTTTGGGGTATCCTATTTCCACACAAAGCCATATGTCATGAAACCACTACTTGGATCCATGTATAAATATAGTACAGACCATATGTATAAACATATAGGTAAATATTATATGGTAAATATACATATTAATGTGATGTGTATATATATATATGAACAAATGTTATAGATGACTTGTAGTGTATATATATATACATATGTACATTATATATATATATATATATCTATCTATACATATATATATATGTACATATATATACATATATATACATATATATGTACATATATATATATATACATATATATATATCTATACATATATATATATACATATATACATATATATATGTATCTACTATACAATATACACTTATATCTATCACAGCGAAAACAAATAAACGGTTCCAGGCCGAGGCGCTCGGGCAGCGCCGGCCACTTGCACCACGCTGCTGTGGATCCGTGCGTTGGACTTCTTGATGGGGCCCAGATATTTGGCCTCACCTGCCATGGGAAGATGGGGAAATCCCATGGGAAAACCCTGGGGAAATTCACGCATGTTTTATGTCAGACATGATTTGTTTCTTGCTGAACATGTCTGATTGAAATACTGTTGATGCTGGTTGGAATTTAATATGATAGTGGGAATATCATGGGGAAAACCATTGGAAAATCACAGGGGAAATACACATCAAATCATGGTTGCAAGACATGGGATGTATATAACCAGCAAACAGGCGGATATTTACTGGATCTAGTAGGATTTATAGCTAATGAATGGATGCCAATGCAATGTTTAATTAGATACATTCTGACATTCTGACGTTGATGATTCAAGCGTGATTTTACCATCAAATATGTATGTTATAGTAGTACTATAGTAGATTATATAGTGCTTCACTATTGTTTATAATGATTTATAGTTACTTTTTTTAATACTGCCTTGTTTCGCACGATTTGCTATATAAAGTTTAATCCTTTTATTCTGTCGCTGGTATAATCATTACAAGTGCACTAATCCAGACTGATATTTCAAGGGCACTGCTCACCTGCTAGAATATAGCATATAAGTTTACAGTCCTGTATGTCCGCCTGTAATGTATATAAACACATATTTATATATATATATATATATCATACAAATTCTTGCATGTGGGCGACCCAACCCCCGTGGAAAGAAAGAATTATGTCTGCGGAAAAAGAGAGCAGCGTGAGCCCATCCGACCAATCACAGGAGCTACAAAATGGTGGCTCAGGGTTGGTAAAGTAGTGTAGCAACCCCCCAAAAAAACATAAAGCAACTTCAACGCATCACAGGTTTTCAATATTTTAGACTTAGATGTTGCATGATTTTACATGAGTTTACTTCTTTTCTTGGTGGAATGTGCTATAAATTCCATGCATTTTGTGAGACAGATCCACAATTTAAATTGAGTCGTTGTACTCGTGCATCCCTTGTGAGACGGTACTTCGCATGGATAAAGTGAGTTAGTTCATCCTATTTCATAGGGTTTATCATTTTATACCTATACTGTACTCATGAAACGTTGCATTTATATCGGTATATATGGGTTTATACCTAGCCTATTCTCATTTCATAGGGTTTATACCTAGCCTATACTCTCTGGCAATCCAACATAGCTAATTGTTAGAAGCCATTTACAATTGATTTGCCCATTAACAAAAATATAATGATGTTCTGTGGCAAACTGTTCGTTTACCAGAAGGTACCAAAGTTAACTGGGACATCCCAAGTCGCCGGCCCCACCTGGATGCTCGAGAACGTTGCCGACCAACGACAGCAGCGCCTGATGGCGACTGGGGTTGTTCTATGCCTTGATCAGCTCCTTAGTTTGTTATGTTTTGGCAATTTTTTGCGAGAGCTGATCCTGAAAACCATTGAACACCTAAATTCACCATGTGTTTTTGATATCATGAACCCATCCTTGGAAATTTTGAGCCATCTTTTGGATCCGAACAGCTCCAGCTGGACCGCTAAGCGTTCCGCAAGGCCCATCCGCGAGTCCGCGGATTGACGGCAGAACACCACAGTGGGCCCTTTGAATCCAACTCTTGAAGGAACACTGCCGTGCTTCGAGGGAAAATCCAGAGGAATCCAGGGATCTACAGTTATGGCCATTTACCAGTTATAACTGGTTATTTTTATGGGATTCTACAGTCTATAAATGGAGTTATAAGTACTTATAACTAATGGCCATAAGTGTAGCATCCAGCACTGAGTTTTTTGTTGTCAAACCATCCCATCGTTGAAGCATCACTCCGCCGGCTCCGCCTTGAGGGAAGCCAAATTCCAAATCTGCCTCAGTCCCATGGGATGGCAACATGAAAAACCATCCAGCAGCTCTGCAATCTTGCAGCTTGCACATCGTTATAGTAGCATATATATATATATATACATACCCTCTGGTTATTTAACATAGCCATGGGAAATAGCCCATTTATAGATGGTTTACCGGTTTACCTATTAAAAATGGGTGGATTTTCCATGGCTATGTTAAAAAACCAAATGGTAGTTGATGTTGTCAAATCAGCAAGAACTATAGAATAATGTAGTTACATATGTACTCTTGGCTCTGTGGAACAAAACCCAGAGTCGCTTTCTTCTGACACCACAGAAAAAGAAGAACAAAACACAGTTCGAAAAATGGTATATATATATATATTATTATATGGGATATACCCCCCAGTAATGGGAATAATGGGATATTATATATTATTATATAACAAAAAAAAACGAAACACAGCTCAAAAATATCTCCGGAACCAGAAGTCGCCCACCAAAATCCTCCAGGATGCTCCATGACCTCCTGACATTCCGCCGCAAAGCTGTCTGACACAGGGACGGCCGGGACCGCCGTGCCCCCGTCATATCCGCGGGGGCCGCCGCAGGCGCTGCAGGTGGTGGTAGCAAAGTCGTTGATCAAGGTACATCGATCACCTTGAAAAGAAGGGAATCTATGGGAATATGGCAAAACAAGGGGATAGAACATGAGAGAACCGGGGGATGGCCTAAAAATTGATCAACCAACTGCTATTATATGAGCTTATAATCAAGCAGTGATCGATGTCAAACCAACAATGGTTTTTGACCCATAAACATCGTGATGTTTCGCCACCATTTTTTTCCAAAGATCACTGGTGAGTTCTTTTCGCGGATTTTCACGAAGCTTCCAAGCATAGCTCTATGGCCACATGAAGACCAAGATCAGCGGTTCCAAACTATCCCCACTTTGAGGGCTGCCATGCTCCACCTTTCCCCCGGCCATTAGAATATCTGTGTCTCTATGAACAATCATATCATATAAGTTGATGTTATATTATGTGATCAATTATCATAGAATATGATCAATTATCATATAATATGATCTAATATCATAGAATATGATCTAATAACATAGAATATGATCTAATAACATAGAACATGATTGAATATGATGTACTACAATGTGATATGATATCATATAATCATGATATGATATTTAATATGATATTTAATATGATATTTAATATGATATTTAATATGATATTTAATATGATATTTACTCTCGTGAAATCTAACCTGGGCCCCCCAAAAAAATAAAAAAAATATCCCGCTACGTTAGCGTTCGGGATTTCCCGTTGAACAGCGCTAACATAGCAGCTGAAATCTTGCATGTTCATGGGGTGATTTTGATACTAACCTAACACCTGCCGCGCCTCCATCAGCACAAATTCCCAAAAGTGTCAAGTTAGTGTTCGTGCTGTGTTTGGGAACATGGCGAATACTCCAAAGCTGGAACCACCAAATGGAAGGTGCTATGTTTGACTGGCACAACTGTTTTTGCATATCTTCCTGCGGCTCACTCTTACTGGACCCAAAAAAGCTTCAAAACGAACAATTTTACATAATAGATTGAATAAGGAAAAAAACTCCTGGTCGATGTTGCCAATCTGGCTCCTTGCTGCCATGATGATTATGATGTACTATTGGAGGTTTTGGGAACCCTGGGCAAATGCTATGTTAGCAATCCTGTTGCCAAAACTCTGGTTTGGATTGAAAATCATGACTGGCACAACTGTTTTTGCATGTCTTCCTGGGGCTCACCCTTACTGGACCCAAAAAAGCTTCAAAACGAACAGTTTTACATAATAGATTGAATAAGGAAAAAACCCTGTCGATGTTGCCAAGATGTACTATTGGAGGTTTTGGGAACCCTGGGCAAATGCTATGTTAGCAATCCTGTTGCCAAAACTCTGGTTTGGATTGAAAATCATGACTGGCACAACTGTTTTTGCATGTCTTCCTGGGGCTCACCCTTACTGGACCCAAAAAAGCTTCAAAACGAACAGTTTTACATAATAGATTGAATAAGGAAAAAACTCCTGGTCGATGTTGCCAATCTGGCTCTTGCTGCCATGATGATTATGATGTACTATTGGAGGTTTTGGGAACCCTGGGCAAATGCTATGTTAGCAATCCTGTTGCCAAAACTCTGGTTTGGATTGAAAATCATGACTGGCACAACTGTTTTTGCATGTCTTCCTGGGGCTCACCCTTACTGGACCCAAAAAAGCTTCAAAACGAACAGTTTTACATAATAGATTGAATAAGGAAAAAACTCCTGGTCGATGTTGCCAATCTGGCTCCTTGCTGCCATGATGATTATGATGTACTATTGGAGGTTTTGGGAACCCTGGGCAAATGCTATGTTAGCAATCCTGTTGCCAAAACTCTGGTTTGGATTGAAAATCATGACTGGCACAACTGTTTTTGCATGTCTTCCTGGGACTCACCCTCACTGGACCCAAAAAAGCTTCAAAACGAACAGTTTTACATAATAGATCGAATAAGGAAAAAACTCCTGGTCGATGTTGCCAATCTGGCTCCTTGCTGCCATGATGATTATGATGTACTATTGGAGGTTTTGGGAACCCTGGGCAAATGCTATGTTAGCAATCCTGTTGCCAAAACTCTGGTTGGATTGAAAATCATGACTGGCACAACTGTTTTTGCATGTCTTCCTGGGGCTCACCCTTACTGGACCCAAAAAAGCTTCAAAACGAACAGTTTTACATAATGGATTGAATAAGGAAAAAACTCATGGTCGATGTTGCCAATCTGGTTCCTTGCTGCCATGATGATTATGATGTACTATTGGAGGTTTTGGGAACCCTGGGCCAATGCTATGTTAGCAATCCTGTTGCCAAAACTCTGGTTTGGATTGAAAATCATGACTGGCACAACTGTTTTTGCATGTCTTCCTGGGGCACACCCTTACTGGACCCAAAAAAGCTTCAAAACAACAGTTTTACACAATAGATTGAATAAGGAAAAAACTCCTGGTCGATGTTGCCAATCTGGCTCCTTGCTGCCATGATGATTATGATGTACTATTGGAGGTTTTGGGAACCCTGGGCAAATGCTATGTTAGCAATCCTGTTGCCAAAACTCTGGTTTGGATTGAAAATCATGACTGGCACAATTGTTTTTGCATGTCTTCCTGGGGCTCACCCTTACTGGACCCAAAAAAGCTTCAAAACGAACAGTTTTACATAATAGATTGAATAAGGAGAAAACTCCTGATCGATGTTGCCAATCCGGCTCTTTGCTGCCATGATGATTATGATGTACTATTGGAGGTTTTGGGAACCCTGGGCAAATGCTATGTTAGCAATCCTGTTGCCAAAACTCTGGTTTGGATTGAAAATCATGACTGGCACAACTGTTTTTGCATGTCTTCCTGGGGCTCACCCTTACTGGACCCAACAAAGCTTCAAAACAAATAATTTTACATAATAGATTGAAGAAGGAAAAAACTCCTGGTCGATGTTGCCAATCCGGCTCCTTGCTGCCATGATGATTATGATGTACTATTGGAGGTTTTGGGAACCCTGGGCAAATGCTATGTTAGCAATCCTGTTGCCAAAACTCTGGTTTGGATTGAAAATCATGACTGGCACAACTGTTTTTGCATGTCTTCCTGGGGCTCACCCTCACTGGACCCAAAAAAGCACGAACAGTTTTACATAATAGATCGAATAAGGAAAAAACTCCTGGTCGATGTTGCCAATCTGGCTCCTTGCTGCCATGATGATTATGATGTACTATTGGAGGTTTTGGGAATCCTGGGCAAATGCTATGTTAGCAATCCTGTTGCCAAAACTCTGGTTTGGATTGAAAATCATGACTGGCACAACTGTTTTTGCATGCCTTCCTGGGGCTCACCCTTACTGGACCCAAAAAAGCTTCAAAACGAACAGTTTTAAATAATAGATTGAATAAGGAAAAAAACTCCTGGTCGATGTTGCCAATCTGGCTCCTTGCTGCCATGGTGATTATGATGTACTACTGGAGGTTTTGGGAACCCTGGGCAAATGCTATGTTAGCAATCCTGTTGCCAAAACTCTGGTTTGGATTGAAAATCATGACTGGCACAGCTGTTTTTGCATGTCTTCCTGGTGCTCACCCTTACTGGACTCAAAAAAGCTTCAAAACGAACAATTTTACATAATAGATTGAATAATGAAAAAACTCGTGGTCGATGTTGCCAATCTGGCTCCTTGCTGCCATGATGATTATGATGTACTATTGGAGGTTTTGGGAACCCTGGGCAAATGCTATGTTAGCAATCCTGTTGCCAAAACTCTGGTTTGGATTGAAAATCTTGACTGGCACAACTGCCTTTGCATGTCTTCCTGGGACTCACCCTTACTAAGCCCAAAAAAGCTTCAAAACGAACAGTTTTACATAATAGATTGAATAAGGGAAAAAACTCCTGGTCGATGTTGCCAATCTGGCTCCTTGCCATGATGATTATGATGTACTATTGGAGGTTTTGGGAACCCTGGGCAAATGCTATGTTAGCAATCCTGTTGCCAAAACTCTGGTTTGGATTGAAAATCATGACTGGCACAGCTGTTTTTGCATGTCTTCCTGGGGCTCACCCTTACTGGACCCAAAAAAGCTTCAAAACGAACAGTTTTACATAATAGATTGAATATGGAAAAAACTCCTGGTCGATGTTGCCAATCTGGCTCCTTGCTGCCATGATGATTATGGTGTATTATTTGAGGTTTTGGGAACCCTGGGCAAATGCTATGTTAGCAATCCTGTTGCCAAAACTCTGGTTTGGATTGAAAATCATGACTGACACAACTGTTTTTGCATGTCTTCCTGGGGCTCACCCTTACTGGACCCAAAAAAGCTTCAAAACGAACAGTTTTACATAATAGATTGAATAAGGAGAAAACTCCTGATCGATGTTGCCAATCCGGCTCCTTGCTGCCATGATGATTATGATGTACTATTGGAGGTTTTGGGAACCCTGGGCAAATGCTATGTTAGCAATCCTGTTGCCAAAACTCTGGTTTTGATTGAAAATCATGACTGGCACAACTGTTTTTGCATGTCTTCCTGGGGCTCACCCTTACTGGACCCAACAAAGCTTCAAAACAAATAATTTTACATAATAGATTGAAGAAGGAAAAAACTCCTGGTCGATGTTGCCAATCCGGCTCCTTGCTGCCATGATGATTATGATGTACTATTGGAGGTTTTGGGAACCCTGGGCAAATGCTATGTTAGCAATCCTGTTGCCAAAACTCTGGTTGGATGACAAATCATGAAATGCACCAAATGTTTGTGCAGTTCTTCCTTGGGGCGGCAACCCTTTACTGGACCCCAAACCAGCTTCAAAACGAACGTTTTCAGTTAATAGATTGATAAGGAGAAAACTCTGATCGATGTTGTTGCCCCAATCCGGACCCTACCTTGCTGCCAGATGATTATGATGTACTATTGGAGGTTTTGGGAACCCTGGGCAAATGCTATGTTAGCAATCCTGTTGCCAAAACTCTGGTTTTGATTGAAAATCATGACTGGCACAACTGTTTTTGCATGTCTTCCTGGGGCTCACCCTTACTGGACCCAACAAAGCTTCAAAACAAATAATTTTACATAATAGATTGAAGAAGGAAAAAACTCCTGGTCGATGTTGTCAATCCGGCTCCT